TTATCGGACCGGGTTCGCTTGATCCAATCCACAAAAGGATCGGTCATCGTTTTTCTTTGCTTTTCAGGTATGAATTTCCTAGAGCTATTACCTCGTTTTGGTATCCTTGACTTGTCTAAACTCATTCTTTATTTGTCACTTTCCTATGACTACTCTTGACTCAATTGTTAGAGACCTTATAGTTTCATTAACAATAATAATGACACAACACAATAAATTTCACCAGATTCTATTAAATAGTGACCACGAATCCCTGTATGTTGTCAGAGTACAGTTTGTATAAAATTTATTCACACTAGCCGATTATCGGTCCAAAGATCTGGAAACTAGCACAATATGATGTTATCAGTCAATTTAAAAGATAGTGTACTCACTACCCAATCAAGCTCAGTTTAGGTTGATTTAAAATCAAAAAACAAAAAAAAATATATATTGACACAATATGAATGTATATATAAAAAAAACGTATGTGTCTTGTACTCTTAGTCAGTCGCAGTACAATAGTCGAACCTGTCTTTTAAAGAAAAAGCTTTCCCTGCTTGGTGCTGCACCAAACAGACAAAACTTTGAAGGCAGTGATTTTCTCAAGTGGGCGTCTATTGCACCCACCGAGTACTGTGTTACCTATCTGCCTTCGGACTGCCCGAGCTAGACCTACTAAAATCCTCAGGGCAGTCACTTTTCCCAAAAACGTATTATGTTTCAATCCACACCAATGAGTCACGCTCTTTTTAATTTAGACTTAGTGTCGCGAATATCCGAGTTCGGATCTGTTTTGTATTAGTCTGGTTCTTTTTGAGAGGCAAGTTACCAGTGCAGTCACTGATACCTATCCTGTGTATTAATAACCTAATACCTCTCGCTTTTTTAGTTTTTCTTTCGTTCACCTAAGTCCTTAATAAAATGATACCCCTCCGGATTGGCACAAATAGGACCCTTCCGGACTGTCAGAATATAGACCCCTCCGGATTGGGACCCCTCCGAGTTAGTTAATAGTAGACCCCTCCGGATTTGGACCCCTCCGAATTAGCGACTATAAGACCCTTCCGGATTCGGACCCCTCCGGTTTTGTGGAAAGTAGACCCCTCCGGATTCGGACCCCTCTGACTTCGGAGCCCTTAGCTCTGTCAAAGTAGCTTTTTATAGTTTTCTTTATTTCAGCTTATACCCCTCCGGATACGTTCTGCGTTGCTCTTATGCTGTTTGAATTAACTGGGAAGGGTATAGGATCCTTTCCTAGACCCCTCCGGATTGAAGTTAAGGCACTTATTTGACAATTCACACTAACGGTGAAGGGTCTTATCACTTGCCTAATTTCGACTCTATTATGGTTGTCTTGTGCCTTCAGCCCTCCCTTTTTGTCTAGAACTGTCTTAAGTTACTTAGTTCAATCGCTATCAACTTTTGGTAGGGGTATAAGGGTTTTTTAGAAAAATTTATAAAACGTGAAGGGTGTACCCCTCCGGATTTGTGTAATTTGCTAAAAACAATCTGAAAAAATTTTCTCGCTCGCTTTTCCGAAAAATTTCTGATCCTATTAGTAAGCTCAGCTAATTTCTGATCTATTGGTACCAAGATCAACTCGATATGATCAGTAGTTCCAAAGTTATTAACCAAAACGTCTTTTTTCCGAACTCAAAAAATTTTCTCTCTTATAGGTTCCGCCTAACTTTTTCCGCAAATCTGGTCCTTTCGACCTAAAATTTATTGATCCGAGCTCAGAAGGCCTATACTCTTCTAGTTCAATGCAAAAGACCCGATCTAAAACGCTATTGTAGAAAAAATTTGCGAAAAACTATGCTACCTGGACCCCTCCGGATTGATGAATCCACCAAATCAAACACGTTATGTTCGATTTCTCTGCAACCCGGAAGGCTTTCGGGTAGCGGATTTTAAGACTTGTAGATTCACTAGTGGACGTTGTCCGAACAACTATTTTTACTGTCCTACCTCAAAAATTTCAAAAAATTTTCTAAATTTTTAGTGTTTCTTACTATCAAAAATTGGGAAAATTTGGTTTTTGGTACCAAACTAGTTCCAACCACTTCCGAACTAAAGTTAACCGGTTCTACTTGTTACAGTAGTGCAGTTACGATGTAACACACTAACTTAGCGCTTTTTTCCGTTTCAAAAAATATCGATATCTCAAAAATCGCGACTTGTGGGGGGATCAAAATATCGCTATTTTGACCCTAAAAACCGGTCTGTTTTCGTTGTTTTTCACTGAAAAATGATATAAGACTATTAATATAGGCTATATAAGTAATAATATTAGTAATACTATACCCCTCCGGGTTTGTTTAATCTCCGAATTAAGGTGCTTAACTCGGATATTCGCAGTTCGGTGAAGGGTCACTACAGTGCAGCACTGTCGAGCCCCCCACAGATTACTATCTTACTTTTTGTACCAAAAGGGATACAAAACTTGTTAACGATACCCAACAGTCGATTGTAGTTGTCGTTGAGCCTCTTCCTGTTGTTCCCTGTACTGCTTGCCGGATCGGTCTTCACCCCGGACCCTTCCGAATTGAGCGCAAATCAGCTGACCCTTCCGGATTGGGCGCAATTTATCATTAACGTGCTTAAATGCTCAAATAACCCTACAGTACAAGCCCCACAAACGGGCTACAAAAATGATCTTAACGATCCTGACTGATATAAATGCCTGTAACAACAATATATCTATCAACAACAAACGGGGGGGTTGAATCACATCTTGTCTGGGGGGATGATTTCTACTGATTTTTTACTTTTTTACTGTTTTTGGTTTTTTCGGTTATTTTTTATGTTTTTTGTTTTTCTTGGATACTATACTATTTTTTGTTTGGTTTTGCTTATATCTTTAAGTGTTTTTGGTCACAAACCACTCAGGGGATGAGGGGTTCGCGATTCCCCCCACAATTCCTGGTTCGTGAATTTTCGGTCTTAACTAGGTTAAAAAACTATTCACGGCAATCCGGAAGGCTTCCGCGTTCCGAACTACCCTTCCGCCCCGGCGGTTTAGGCCTAATAAGGGCGTTAATGTGAGCATCCGCTCGGCGCGGAATGCTCGTTAACGGTTCTGCCGGTCATGATGTTAAAAAAGAATAACACCCAGGAGCGCCATAAAAACATACATGTAACATTCGCCCGGAAGATACATATCGACGGATAACAAAACTAAGTCTTAAGACGACTGGCTAGCGTCTAAACAGAGCTTTGCATGTTTTTCACCGTCTCTACCAAGCCAGTACTTTTCGGTGGTCTTTCTTACATCAGGCTGACAAAAACGCTACTGTTCTCCGGCTTCGACCAGAACGCTCAAATTAACTAGATTACATGCAAAAATAGTGAGCTCATGGCTGGGTCTCAGTATCCCCAGACCACGAGGTCACTCCTAAAAACAGGGCTACTACTTATTATATTACTATTGTTTTTGTTCAGTAGATAAAAATCATCATCTCCATCGAAGATGGATCAACCCTTCCCCCCCTTCCTCTAGCTCCTCATTCTTGTCAAAACGAATTAAGATCTTAATTAAATTCAAGTCAGGACATGACGGATGCTAAAATTCAATATAAGTTCATAAAAGTCCACGTCCCGAGACCCTTCCGGATTCTTGAATCCGGTGAATCAAGCTTCTTAATATCCAGTTCACAATAACTCGGAAGGCTGGGTTTTACCCTTCACCGTTGCTCGCAACGGCCTTGCAACTATTGTAACAGCACAATAGTTGCAACTCGGAACGTCCTCTGCTGTTCGGTAGTTCGTTGTAGTTTTTTAGTCTCGATTTCGTACTGTTCGTAATCGCAGATAAAAGTTGTTCTGTTTTTTCTTGCTCTTTTTGCTAAAAATGGCCGTTTCTGACGTTTCTCAGAAATATGACGTCATAATTCGAATTTTTAAAAACTAGAATTCCAGAATCTTCTAGCCTTCACCGTTTGGCTAATCGTTCAAATAACGTCCTTATCCGTTCTAAATCACCAATTCGGAAGGCTTGCTGCTAAAATACCGAATTCCGCAGAGACTGCATTTTGGCCATTCTGGTCGAATGTCACAGTTCTTCTTAACCTCATATGTGACATAAGCAGACGACTGTCACAGCAAAGTTTCGAAAACATTTGAAATTTACTTTTTTATCAAAAATCTTTCTTTTATATGAGCGACTGGCACACATGATCTGCGATAACTAATCCACATAATTAAATTCAATTGTTCAGGACGGAAAATTAATAAAAAGGGTTATAAAGGTTCACGTAAAAGGTACTTGGCGCCAGGCATCTGATAGCACAACTACCAAGAGAAGACGTCGTTATACTCTGCATTTCCGTGCGTTTGATAGTTCGGATATGCTCCGGATCTGCCACTGAACCTTCCGGATTCCACTCACTCCTGGGGTTAACGTACTCGTCACGCAAACCTTTCGTTTCCGGTGGCTTCTTTCGTGGTTTGAGTTTGCCCAACTATATTTTGTCCATCCACTGACTTTTAAGGTGTATTCGGCTGTTGTGCTTTGAGGGGTTGTTCAACTTCGGCGGTTTGATTTTTCTGAGAAATTGTTACTCTCCAGTCGAACATTTCAAACAATAAAAATTCCTGAAGATTCTACCCTTCTCCCTGTGTCGAAATTGACGTTAAAGCGCTTAGTGCCATTTTCAGCGTGTTTGAGAGGGTTCTGCTGTGCCTTCTGGGGGAATGGTAAACACTTTGAAATGGCTCTGGTAGAGACGGTTAAAAGCAAGTAGGACTCTATCTTGACGCTGGCCAATCGTTAAATTTTTATATATTTTTTTCTATGTTATGTACTTTCCGGGTGAATGTTACAGTAACAGAGTTTATTCAATTGTCCCTGTCGGATGAAAATAACCAAATAAAACGGCAAAAATCTTGTTATGTAAATTTTTCCAGACTTTGAATTTATTGCTTAGTGGTTCACAAAAAGCTAATAATTGTTCGCTTTTAGTGCTGAATAAGGATGTAATTTGACCGAAATCGTAATCAAGCATAATCATTTTTTAGATTAACCAATGAACAAATATTTTAAGCTTGGTCGGCAGTTATTAAACTGCTCCAGGCCTCTTGGTCAGCAGCCGGATTACAGAAGAAGTTTGTCAGCTGCTGCTCAAATGTCTGAATCCTACATTGAGCAATTGAGAAGCTGCGTTTCTGGAGATACTAACAGGTTAACATCCAGTTCTGCTGTGCGAGATCTATTCGGGAAAGATGAAAGCCATTTTATTCATTCTCCTCTGCCTGATTTAGTAGCCTTTCCTAATTCATCTCAGGAAGTGTCTGATCTGCTAAAGTTTTGTCATACAAACAACATCAATGTTGTGCCTTTTGGAACCGGGACTGGATTGGAAGGCGGTGTAACCTGCCCCGAGCATCAGAAACGACCATATCTATCGCTAAGCATGACAAACATGGCTGAAATTACCGCACTCAATGTCGAAGATTTCGATGTAACCGTCCAACCCGGAGTAAGTATCATTGTTAGCTTCAATGATGACAAATTGTTGCCAAAATTATTTTTATACATATTATAAATCACCGAATCAAAGGAAATATTGACACTGAATGTAAGTCCGGTAATCTGCAAGTCGGGTCAGGTACATTTAGCTGATTTTTTTTATTTATTCAGAAGGTCGAAAGTATCATAGTTACCGAGGTTACAGTCAGGCGTCCCTTCATCGCATTATCCAGTCAAAATCCTCCGAATTTTCTAGATAAGAAAAAAGGAGATGATTAGTGTTGATGTTTTTAAAAATAAACTCGATACGGGTTACGTTTCTTCAATAAGAACACGCAATGTCACCCCTAAGATTGTTGGATTTTTGTTTAGGGGTAGCAAAAATCCACTCACTGCAAAAATCTCATATCGCGTCGTTTGATGCGCGGAAAAAGTTTCTGTGCGCGTGTTTGCAGGAGAGCTGCGATACTAATTTAAAACCCGCAGTTGTCTTACAGGGCATGGTCTTCAAAATTAGCTTCATTTAAGACTAACGAGATAAAATTATAAACATCGGGTGTGCTTTAGTTTCCTGTTTTCCACGCAAAGTCAGCTACCAAAAATAGTCACCGGAATGGGTTGGAAGATATACGATATTAAAGCGCTATCAGTCGTGATTCGAACCACATCAAACAGTTTTCAAAACTTTTTCTCAGTTTTGACAAAAATTAGTTTTAAATCTAATTTCGAGCGAATAAATTGAGCGATCAGCCTTATAATAGTCTATTTCTTTTAATTCAAGTTCAGCTGAAAGTTTTTTGTTTTGCTCTCGTAAATATAGTTATCGAAGCTTCTTTTAACGCCTTCCATAGAATAAATTTTTTTAATTCAGAAAAAAAAACTTTTTATAAATGTGTTTGAATTTTTTAAATGATTTTTTTTCTTATCTTTTTCTGTTATAACTGTTGTCGATTATACCAAATTTACTATTGCTTATTATCAATTGCTAGTCCTCTGTTCAAACTCTTTCATGACATCAGGAATAAAACTAGACTATCCTTGTTTTTACTTGGCGGATTTCGTCTCTTGGCTGTCGGCTAGCAATGTGATACGAAGCCCCGCTTTGACTTTCTTTTTCATTTTGTTTAGTAGTTCATTGAACCGTATATCTTTTGCTGCAGTTGGTTCGAATTACTATTGAACAAATTGCTTTCATAATTATATACATAAATGCAAGAAAATTTTTAAATGATTTTTTGGTCATTTTTTCCAGATACTGGGGAAAAACTGTTCCAATGCTAAGTAAAAGTTCGAAAGTTCCCGACGATAGAATTTCGTTGAAAACTTGAGTAAGATTTTGTAGCTGCAACTTTTGATAGCTTTATGATAAATATAGCCTCTAGTGAGATGTGTATGGTGCAGTTTTTCAAAGAAGAAGTGAGTCAAATTACATCCAGTAATTTTCTGAGAAGGTATTTTTGTCTTCGTTGAAAAACTTAAGAATTAAAAATTCGTTCAGAAAATATTTATTTAACAAAGAAAAAGCACTGTTTGATTTGGTAGTGTTTACACAAACGAGTGGCAATTTTGCTGCTCACCATTACTAATATGCATTTATCCACATTATTGGTGGCTAGTGTTTGGCTAGGTTCAAGGGCTCGTGGCACCGATGTGATGACGTTAGACTCTGAATCTCCATGTTGCGGGTTCGATTCCGGTATACGGTGAGAATTTCACTTTTTAAGACTGGTTTTACCGTTTTTCCCAAATAAACATTTTAAAAGCTATTTTTTTGGAGTTTTGTAGCTTGTTTTTGCGAATGGCAGCTTCATCTCTGGGATTAAGAAATTGCATAAGTTTCATATCGATTTCAGGTAGTGAAATAGTTTTCATATGTAATGATACGATGCGAGACGACTTTTTAGAGCACATGGCGTAGATGTGAGGATGCGAGACTCCGAATCTCCAGGTTGGAGGTTCGGTTCCAGCAATTTCAATTTTCAAGGCTTATTTTTGCTTTTTCTGATTTCATTTTTTAGAGCTTTGTTTACCTTGCGATAAGCAAGGGTATTGCAATCGGGTACTAGACTTTTTCCCGTAAACAACTTTTTGTACAGGATCTTCACTTCTAGAGGATCACTTGTAAAGGATCTTCAATTCTGGAGGATCTTTCATCTGACATACTCAATTTCTTGGAAAGTCAAATAAAACTATCATTTAGCTAATAATTAGTTCACGTCCGTTTCAGGTTGTAATTATCATTTCAAAAACATTTCTCAATTTTTCGATTGTCTGGTTTTCGTCCTAGTTTATGTCGGTTCATTTTCCGTTTTTTAAACGCCATTTTATCTGGTAGCGTTTTTATTGGTTTACTTTTTAAAGCAATTTAAACAGTTTTTACTATAACTGATACTTGGCAGTTTAAAGACTGTCTACTTCCAATTTTCTATTTTTTGTTTCTTCACTCAGTTGAAGTTGTGCTCATATTACATCGACTTAGTCGTCTCATTTGCATCCAGGATGTTTCCAGGAGTACTGAATTAGGAAATTCGAGTTGATAATGTTTCATAGCTCAATCTTTCGCCTAGAAAAAACACTCAACGGGCGTCTCCCCAAGTATTGTCGCATTAGTTCTCTTCGTATTTTTTTTAAATAGAAATTTTACAGTGGAAGTTCTCTTACTTGGCAGATTTTTCGCACATTGATTCAAGATTTCATTTAAAACAAACCGAAGAAAACGTTCGAAAATTTTGCATTGAAAATTACGTCGACTTTACGACCTTCGCCTCATCTTTTGTTAATTACCTTGCCCTGTTATATCTATCTATTATATATTTAAATGCGGGCTTCACTATCTCGCCATGTTTAAGCTTTTTCAACGTATTATTTTTGCATGTTTAAGCTATGTCGTATATTGCAATGGTTAAGATTTTTTTTTCGATTTTCCAATTTGATTTTAGTGATTATTTTACCGAGCTTAAATGAAACAGCCCAATATCGAATTAGGGGTTGCGAATTTGGCCTCCAAGTTTGAATCCCCGAATCATTTAAGTTAACGAGATAAGACGATTTTTGAGATTTTTTCAAAAATTGTCAGACTTCAAATAAAAAAGTAATTTACAAAACTTGAAGTTCCCAACCCTGTAGTTGGGTCCTGTCAGAGTAATCTCAAAGATTGCGAATCTTGCCTCCAAATATGACTGCTCAATTCTTTGTAGTTTTCGAGATATGACGTTTTTTTGTGATTTTTTCAAAACTTTTCAGAAAACTCAAATTATTATAATTTTTTTCAAAAAATCTGAAGTTCCCAACCCTGTAACTGGGTACTGTTAGAGTACTATCAAGGGTCGCGAATCTTGCCTCCAAATATGGTTGCTCAAATCCTTGTAGTTTTCGAGATATGATGTTTTTTGTGATTTTTTCAAAAATTTTTCATAAAGTTTTAATTATTTCTCGAAATTTGAAATTCCCAACCTTGTAGTTGGGTGCTGTCAGAGTACTCTTAGGAGTAACAAATCTTGCCTCCAAATTTGACTGTTCAACTCCTTGTAGTTTTCGAGATATGACTTTTTTTGTGATTTTTGCAAAAAATTTTCAGAAAACTTAGAATAATTTTTTGAAGCAAAATCTGAAATTTCCAACCCTGTAGTTGCGCACTGTCAGAGTGATCTCAAAGATTGCGATTCTTGCCTTCAAATATGACTGCTCATTTTTTTGTAGTTTTCGAGATATGACGTTTTCTGTGATTTTTTCAAAAATTTTCAGAAAGTTTAAATTAATTATTTTTCAAAATTTGAAATTCCCAACGCTATACTTCGGTGTTGTCAAGAGTACCCTAAAAAGTTGCAAATCTTGCTACATGTGACTGCTAAACGCGACTCAGGCGTCTCAATTTTTGCCTCCTAATATCAATGCTCAAATCCGTATAGTTTCCGAGATATGACGTTTTTTTTCGATTTTTTTCGGGAAACTTAGGTTTAAAAAAATTTTGGATTCCTAACCCTATAGTAGGGTGCTCTCAGGGACTCTCAGTGGTTGCAAATCTGGCCTCCAAAATTCTCCAGAGGGCCATTAAGGTTTCGAGAGGACGTTCTTAAAATGGGAATTAAAAAAATTTAAAAGTTCGAAATTACCAACCCTGTAATTGGGTGCTGTCAGAGTACACTAAAAGTTTGCAGATGTTGTTTCCAATATATGCGGTTTTTTTCATGAGTTCTCGAAAAATTTCGAAGCACCGAAGGTGCGTTAAGCGCTAGTTTTTATTTTATCGCAAGTGGTCGAATAGCTGCTTCGCTTCTGTGTTTGAATGTTTGGCTGAAATAATACAGCATTTCTTTAGTCCTAAGGTCATTATTCGAATCATTTTCATACCGGAAATTTGAATGGGTATTGTGGTAGGTTACGAGGCAGATGTTAAATGATGCCCTTAGAGATAAAGGACTCTGGTTCCCCGTGGATCCGGGCGCAGACGCCTCTCTTTGCGGAATGTGCGCGACAAGTGCAAGTGGCACAAATGCAGTCCGCTATGGCACCATGCGAGAAAATGTCCTCAATCTTGAAGTTGTATTGCCAGATGGTACAATTTGTCATACACAGGTAAATAAATGCCTTTAGAAAATTGTTCGAAATGGGTCGATCGTACAAACTGGCTATCTTCGGTTGGACTCTCTACTGAAATTTTACCACCAAGCGCTCTTCGCAATGTTTCTGATTTAATTTATTCAACCTTGTTATTTAGAGATGCAAGAATACACCGAATTTTTTTGAACTAAAATTACCGATTTAATAGAAGCTGATCTTAAGGGTAAAGGCACAAGGGCCAGAAAGACAGCAGCTGGACTGAATTTGACCAACCTGTTTGTGGGATCGGAAGGTACTTTGGGAGTGATCACAGGAGCGACGCTCAGAATCCATGGGATCCCGGAGGCATCTGTTGTCGCAGTGTGTACTTTTTCGTCTCTGGAGGAAGCGGTCGAGAGTGCTACTATGGGTAATTGCTTTCATGATTAACCAATTTTACTATGAGATTTTTATGATGTGTTTCTAAGGTACCATGTGATCAGTATATGTACGCAAAAACAACAAGTGGCGAGAAAAATTAGCCCTAAAAGGATAATCGAGGGAGACATGTCGAATGAAAATTGAAATTTTATCGTCTAAGTAAGACATGAAGTTCTGAAATGAGCGTTTTTATAAGGATGTCTCTCATTAAGAACACATTGAAAAATAGAAATGTCTCTGAGAAGTGTTCATGTAATGATCTGTGATCTTCAAGTGATGCAATGTGGCGTGCCAATTGCGAGGATGGAATTGCTGGACCCGGCCAGCATCAACGCCTGCAACAAATACAGCAAATTGTCTCTTGATACAAAACACACTCTCTTCTTCGAGTTTCACGGAAGCGAAAGAGGTATTACAGAACAGGCAGAGACGGTGGGAGAGATCACGAAGGATTGTGGCGGAAGCAACTTTGAATTCGCCAAGGTCGGTCTGCACAGTCATATTTCATCTAGTTTCACAGTGTTGAATTCTTCTCACATCGGATTCAATTTAGCATTTTGATGACCTATGCGAGCGAACATAGTTCAGACTCATATAGGTCACGATGATTTTTTCAGGAAAAGTCCTAAAATTTGGAAAGGATCAAAAAAATTTTCGGGGTTAGATTTTTTGATTTATTTTTAAGTTCAATTCATTTTTTTTGTTTAAAAGAAGGCAAACTCTGCTATCGAACAGCAAAAGTGTAAATGTCACGAGAAAGTTTATCGAATTCTAGTTTCGAAAGTGGAATTTAATTTTCAAAAGGAATTTTTTTATAATGAACAATTCAGTATTTTTTTCTCTCTTTTTTTGCGTTCATTGACTCTTTTCCAACAGTCTGTTCGCTATGTTTAAAAGCAACAAGTAAGAGCGTGGTAGGAATTTTGTGAAAACCATGTAGGTCCTGATGCTTTTTTCAGTAAGTTGTTTTAAAATTGACTTTTGATTTCTTTTATTAACTGAAGGCAAATTCAACTATCGAACAGCAAGTGTTTGGAATATTCTAGAATTCGATTTTCAAAAAAATCAACTTCTGTAGAATAGATAACTCGATTTTACTTCAAAGCTATACAGTACTTATACAAAGCTAAACTCTCTGGAATAACTTGAAATAGTTCAAAGTTTCTTGCAATAGTTCGATGTTTCATCTCTTGATTAGCTTGCTCTGGGAAAAAAAAAACGTTTGCAAATGGATTCAATTTCTGAAAACAGCTTGAAATGCTTCAATGTTTTTTGCTTAGTAGCTTGCTTTAAAAACATAATGTTTTTCGCGAAATTATTCAAGCAATAAATACAATTTGAAATACTTGCTCAATAGCTTGCTTGGAAAAACTTGATTTTTCGCTATTTTTTTAAAAAGTTTTATTGTTCATTAGCCGGCTCAAAAACTTCCAAGCTCTTTCGAATTGGGTTAACTTGTGAAAACAACATGAAGTTGTTAAAAAATAATATTCGACTCAAAAAATCCTAATTTTTGCGCAAAGGTCTAAGCTGTCCTAAAATCTTGCAGTTCATCAAATTTTTACATCTCGATAGGTAGCTTGACATATTTTAATTGTTTCGCCATCCATTTCACGTTCTGAAACAAATTGAAAATATTGGTTTCATCGCATGCTCGAAAAACTTGTTATTCCGAATCACTTCAAGCGTTGTAAGCCCTTTTACATTTGAAACAATTTTTTGCTGATGATCATAAGCTTGGTTCAAAATTTTTTTGCGAATGAACTAAAGTGTTGCATGCTCAATAGCCTGAAGAAAACTAAAGGGAATTGATTGAAGCTGTGAAAACAACTAGGAAATTCTAGGTTTTTCAAGCTAAAAGAAACTTCGGGGAAACGACTCACGCTATAAATTAAGTTGAAAAAGCATTGTCAGTCAGTCAGTGGGCGTCACCATCCTTTGGATTCGAAGGTGTCTGTTATAATTCTTTTTTCTTTCGTTCTCAAAATAGCCGTTACTTTCCAGAGAATCTTGTTGCGGCCTGCATATTGTTCGTAATCATTACCCGCTGCTTCCTTTATCCTTTCTTTTCTGTTTTCGTTCAGTGCCTAAAGCGGCTTCCGACAAACTTTCTGATTTCTACATAGCGAAGAAATCTGAAGTGACCTTATGTGCGAAATTTTACCTCAAAAACAGACGCTCAAGAACGAAGCCTAAAGCGCTTTCATTTATTACCAAACTTTTCCCCTTTTAGTTTCTGAAAATATTTTGAAAGAAACATTTTTCCAAGCCTACAGTTTTCCGACCGTCGTTCGGAAATCTCGCGCAAGCTGCCGTATGCTCTCTGGTCTATGATGTAAGACTTCGACTGATAACTCGGAATTCAAACTAAGTGGTTTTCACGAACGGGAATCCGTATGCTTCTGTCAGACGCCTATATCACTTGTTCAGCCGCTGTATGATACCATATCAATACCTCAGTTCAACCAATCCCTTCATTGCCCCTTTTATGCAACAGTTTTTGCACATACAAAGTAGATATTGCATCTCTTCGACAATTTGACGTCCTTAGTCGGTTGTCCTTTCTGTCAAGTAGATTATTCGTCCCACCGTCACCAAGTTTTTTGACATTAACTGTTCAATATTGCTGAACCGTTTTTCTCAGAACTTTGTCGCAATTGCTCTTACTGGATATGGGATGTGTAGCGAATTAGATAAGAAAGTACCATTCACTAACGACGAGCTCAAAACACCTTGACATTTTCGGACTGTTCGAGTTGTTGTCATTGAAGTTTAACCTTCTTCGTGGGAAGTTTAAAATGAGGACGCGCTCAAGCTCTAGCGCCGAGATTACTTTTGATGTTTTCCTTCAGAGAAAACATACCACTGAAAGTTTTACTCGGTAGAGTGTTCCATATTTTTGTTCCAGAAAAAGTAAGCGGATTTTTACCGAAATTTGTTGAAGTTTTTGGAATGATCAGTCTAGTTGCTGTATTTCTTTCGTTTTTTGAGAAGCAATCTCTGATATATTCTGGCATAGAAATCAATTCTTTAGTTGAAAATGCTTAAAATTGATACGCTTAGTGATAAGCAGCCAGTGTAGATTGTGGAAAAATGGCGACATGCTGTAAAGTTTTGATATCTTAAAGACGTATCGGCATGTTGCATTCTGAACTTTCTGTAATTTAATGATTAGATATTGTGGTAACCCAGAGTACACGCTGTTGCAGTAATCGAGCCTAGAGAATGGGTGAGCATTCAGGCCAGAAGGTGTTTGTTGGAGAAGTTTTTAATAGTTGTAATGAATTTGTGGCTCTATTTGTTTCGGTCAAATAATTTTGCCAGCAATTTAAAAGAGTTGAAAAAATCAAAATGGCGATTGTTGATGACAAAAAGTACTAGTTTCAGGTGCTTTCTTTTTTTCGTAAATATTGCAGAACAATCATTTCTAACTTCTCTTTTTCTGTGTTAATTTTCAATCTCATATTTTCGAACCAATCATTAATTTTATTTAAATCCAATTGAATCTTGTCAAAGTTTCCCTCATATGAGGATAGACTGCAGTTTAGCCTGGTTTCATCTGCATAAATTTGATAGTTCAAACTAGTTTTCAAAAGTACTGTTCGTTTTGGCGAAAAATAGACTGTGAAAAGCAACAATCCTAGCAAAGATTCTTGTGGAGCCCCAGTTTTAATGATACGAGGTTTCGATATAGTTTCATCTATCTTGATAAGTATTCTACTACTGAGCTATGATGATCTTTGCTTGCCGATATTTTAAATCCTGCATTATTCTTGAGTAGAAGTAATCACAGCTCATGGTCAATAATCTCACATGCTGTTGTAATTTCTGGGGCGATAACAGCTGTTTCTGTTCCTTTAGCTAGCTTAAGGAAGATGTCATTGGAAGTTTTCAGCTGGGCTGTCTCTGTCGAGAAAAGCTTTCTGTAAGCTGATTGTTTGATATCATGTAACTTATTTGCACTGAGATAGTCTGTTAATTGCACAAAAGTTACTCTCTCGAACATTCGAGAAAAAACGTAGATTTGCTATAGGTCCGTTAGATTTTAAAGTTTCCGTATCGAAATTTCGAAATAACTTTCTTTAGTTGCGGTTTTACCAAGGCTAATTTTAGCGCTTGAGGGAAAAAGCTAATTTCTATACATTAGTTTGAAAAGTTGAAGGAAATTCATCCAGTTATTATTGATTCTTTTCAGGTCAGAAGATTTCATTGGGTCTGACAATGATGCCGCATTTGAGCACTTGAGTGATGCCGCATTACTCAACTGCTTCGGTTATCGTTCTTAAATCAACTTTTTCAAATAATAGCATCTCTTCGGGGACAACTCTTCTCTCAATTTTAAAACTCGGCAGTTGTTATTCAAACGCATTTATTGGTTTTCAATTTTCGTTACAAAGAAATCATGTAAGTTCTCAAAGCTCTTGATAATTTCGTTTTGATTTAGGATACACTTTTTCTTTTTTTTATCCTAGCAGGGCTTCAAAACTTTTCAACTTTGACTTTTAATTCACTGTAGTGTTTAATTTTCTGTCTAAGTACTTTTTTTTTTACTTTTTTATGAACAATTCGTTGCATATGTTTGTTTGAAATTTCAGTTTGTTCCCATTTTCATTGTTCTGCGTTTTTTAAGCATTCCCTCTCAACTCCTTCTTTTCCTTTTGCGCTCTGAATTTCAGGATCAAAAAACTTAAACGTTTTTATGCGCTTCGTCATAGTTTTCAAAGGTGCATGATTTTCTATGAGTGTAGAAAAAATTTCATGTTTTGCCTCTGCTTTTGTGTCAAGATCTGATATTCTTTCATTTGAAAGAAAATTTAAAAATACTTCATCTTGGAGCTGTTTTCAGCACGCCGTTTAGAGGTTTCGATAGGAAATAGTGGTTACCATGGACTCTTGTCTAGGCATAGGAAAAACTCCACTGACCAGAGAATGGTCACTGAAATTGACGCCGAAGAATAATTGCTTGAATCGCCGGCTTACATAATCTTCATTGTTTGCGAATTGATTCAAGCTATAGTTTTTCAAATATTTCAAGTTTCAACGCTTGGTTGTCTTGCTTAAAATCCGAATAAAGGTCTTTTAAGCGGAATGGAATTGATAATAGCTTGCCATATACGTATGTTTTGCGAACCGAATCGCTCCATGGATAATCTTGACAATGCTCAAAGTTTCATCGCTCGACTATCCCGCTAAGAAAAGTTGAATTTTTTTGAACCGATTCACGCTATAGATATAAGTTTGCGGAATCATCCCTTGACTAGCTTGGTTATAAAATCAACTTTTGCGAATCAAATTATGTTGGATGTGTTTTGACAGCCGGTTTTTCGAAACTATTCGTTTGCACAGGAAATGGAGAGGCGCAATGAGCTGTGGAAGGCGAGACATGCAGCCTACTGGGCTATTCTGGCAACTAAGCCAGGCCTGAAGGCATTCATCACTGACGTCTGTGTGCCAATCAGTAACCTCACCCCATGCATTCTGGAAGTGAACGAGGTCATAGAGACGAATGGTTTCATGGCCAACATTGTGGGTCATGTGGGCGATGGAAATTTTCACTCCGTGTTGATGTACGATGCAAATGATAAAAGCGAAGAGGTGAGGGTTTCAAAACTGACTAATGACCAGGTTTAGTTGCCCTTCTGCTGCGCAATGCAATAAACAGATGGCATTAGAACAAAGTTCATTCGGTAAAATATAGTGCGGTGGGTATCTTTGAAATACTGGGCTTTCACTCATTTCAATTGAAAGCAATTTAAGTTATGCGAGTCTATTAGTGTTGCATATGGTAGAAGTGATTTATATTTATGGTACGATTTCATTAATGCACTGTAGTTTGTTAGATTAGTTTTTGTTGTGTGATTGGTTTAGTATGTGTGGTTGGTTATGACATGTATAAATTCCAGGAACGACTGAAAAAAGTAACGACTGCCGTTGGCGATCTGGCCATGAAGTACCATGGAACGTGCACTGGTGAACACGGAGTGGGTCTGGGAAAGAAACACCTGCTGAAGAAGGAAGTGGGACCGGAGACGTATGCTCTAATGCAGCAGATCAAAAGAACACTGGACCCCAACTGTATCATGAACCCTCACAAAGTATTCGATGTATGAATTGTAGACGAATTGGAAAAAACTATTGAACTGACTTATCAAACTGAAAAGCAAACCATTACTAGTTGAACTAGTATATGTACTGTAAATGTTAAATGGAACTGCCTTTTATGGCAAAGTCGGACACAACATGACTACAGCTTTCATGGCTATAGGATTCTAAATGCTTTTGGTACCTGAATTTCGTCTCTGAGTTCGAACTTGAATTCTTACTTTTAAGTTATGGCCGTAAAAGTTAGCAAATACAACCACATATCGGATGTTGCCTGGGCCACAACTGCCCTTTGATGTTGTAATTTTAAATCAGAAATAGATTAAAGGAAAACAGCTCAAAGCGTTTCAGACTTAAATGAAAATTGTTTTGTTCATATTCTTTTTAGAGATGGTATTTAAACGTATGAGTTACAGAGCAAACATAGGTTTGGAATATTTAGACCCAAGAATCTTATGTGGAAAATGTTGCCGTGAAAAATAGAGCGTCATCTGATATTTGTTTTGCCTTCTGAAGATGTTATATTTCTATTATAGATAGCTAATCTCAATATAAAACTCGCGGTGCTCAACAGTTTGTAAATTTGTGAAAATTTTGTTAGAATACTTTTTTTATCGATTCATTGTTCAACTTAGAGAATATGAATAATGTGCACTTGTTTATTTGATGAAGAAGAAAACAAACGTGATTTGATGTGCAATTGTTGCCATGTCAGAATCGGTTTTCATTTGTCATTTTTTTCAGGAAAAATGGTCAAATTGTAGCCCACAATATCTAGTTGAGCTGTATATTTGAGACTGGGGATTTAGGGCCTAATCTGTGATGCAGAGAGCTGGATTTGAACAAAGCTAGTGTACAAAATGGCGTACAGTCAATACGTGAACGTGGATGACTTGCCGCGGCCTGAAGCCACCTCTTTGCCGACGGATCTGCCTCCTAATTCGGACCTCAACAAAATGAAGAAATATGTGCGGTGAGTTTTTGATTCGTGAAATGTCACTATTAAACGCATTCAATTCCCAAATTATAGGTAATGAGTTTTATGCGAATATTAATATGTCTGAATTGACTCTCTTAGTCTTACACTTAATTTTAAGCTCAGTAAGTCTCTTACAGTGAGAACCAATGAGTCCCTAAGATTTGTGAAATTGAAAGAACTTCACCGTGAACTTTTTTTTTGGGATTTTATTGTCGATCGAAAATTTCCCAAAACAAAGTCAATCATTCTTTTTTTTTGGTTTCTTCGAGTTCCTATTTTTTCAGGAAAAATGAAAATGTACTGGAAAAAATTACTGATTTTGTCAAATCGGGTTCATTGTTTGAATTGGTCTAAGTGTCAGTGAACATAGTTAAGACACTTATGTAGGTCGTGATGCTTTTTTAGTTAGAATTATTTTCAGGTGATCATGCTTAAACTTCCACTTTTTTTAATGCTCAATGCATGATCATTTGCTAAAAAGAAGGCAATTTCCGCTCTGTAATAACGAAAGAAGAATGACGCAAAAAGTGTGATCTACTTTACTTTCTTCCATTTATTCAGATTTACCGCAGAAGAAAAAAAAACATATTTCAAGTTTTCTCAAAGTCAAAGAGTTATGAAAAAATGTCAATCAAAAAGTATTCTCGAAATTGAAAGAGCTCTAACGTGATGTTTTTATACTTAAAGATCTAGTTGAAATTCTATTTCATCTAACGAAATTTGGTCTTTTTTTAGGAGTCGATGAACGTAGCTCAGACTCTTATATAAGGTCATGATGGTTTTTTTTTCAGGAAAGTTTGTTTAGGCTCATGTGACTTTTTGCCGTTTGACTTTTGATTTGCTTTGAGTTCAGTTCATTTTTTGCTTAAAGGAAGGGAAACTCCACTGTAGTGAAGCAAAAGGGTAAAGGGCACGAAACATGTGATCGACTTGTAATTGCAAAATGGATGTTAATTTTCAGATTTCCCAGCAAATAAAATTTTTACATAATAATCCAGTTTTCTCAAGTTGGGTTAATTTTAATCAGAAAGGGTTCATAATATTTTGATCCAGAAATTCAAAAAGAATAAAGACCTTTTTTTTGAAAATCGAGAATTTAGGTTTTTCAAAAAATCTGTCGGTATTTTTTTTCTATTTACTTGCGTTCTTCGACTCATGTTTTTTGGCTCAAATTGGGTTATTTGTTTAAATCAAGTTTTTAATTATCAATGAAAGTAGTCGTCAAGAAATTGATGTAGTGCGCGACGAGTTTTTAAGTGTAAAAGAAGGAAGTGATTCTCATTTTTATAGGTCTCGATAATTTTTTCAGTAGAATTCTTAAAATTTGTTCGTTCAAATTCAGTTTTTTGATTTTCGATTGAACTTTATTTCCTTTTTAAAAAAGTTGGGGTAACTCCACTATCGAACAGCAAAAGTGTAAAGGTCGCGGCAAACTTGTATGGTTGAACTTTTTGTCGTTTGACTTTTGATTTATTTTTGAAACGAGGCAAAAAATTGTGCATGATTTTTAGGTTTGAGTGTGGATTTTTTTTGTAGCTGTTCCCAGCGAAGAAAAAAAACCTAAGAAGCGTTGAAGTTTACCAGCTTTAATTCATTTTGAGTGTTAATATTGGAGCTTTAATCAACGAGGAAAAGGACGAAATTACGAGCGACTCAGATTGATTTACAAAGAACAGTGCGTTAAAAGCTCTGTAAAAAGCTGATCAGAATGTTTGTTGAACCTTTTCCTTTTCTTGTGGATAAATCTTAACGTGAGAAGGAAAGAAAGAATTTATTTCTCCTGAAAAAAATTTGAGTCAAATTATATAAAATACAACAAAATCTGGAGAGGACAGACAAAGGGATTTTGGGATCTACCAAGCGCCTATACTGCAAGCAAATATGCTTTTATTAACAACAAGTAGCAAGTGTTAACAAATAGCAACAAAAATGTTTATTCCTTCTGAATTAATTTTTATTAAGTTGAGCAAGTTATAAATCATCAACTGGCCAGCAGATACAAAAAGTAAATATCGATTATCAACCTTAAGCATGGCCACATTAATCAGCTGCGACGATAATGTCATAAAACGCAATTTTAAAAAAGCAAGCCACGGAAAAAAACTCACCCAATAATTCAAAATTTGAAAAACACGATACATTGAAATTACACGTTCTTTAATTTTTGACCATTTTAATTAAATAGTCTTTAGCGTATTGAAAATTGCAAACACTGAGAAACATTTGTTCTTTTTGAAGTGATATACTGAGATATTTTCACAAAAAATGAGATCGCTAAAATAAGAACATTTGAGGCACATTTTTTCACTCAAGAATCCTTACTCCTAGAGAATTATCCAGCACTATTCAACGAATGGTTTCAGCCTTGAACTAAAAGTAAACAAATCTGGGTTACCAATTCGAAATATTGATTTAAGTACGAGGGTTTAAAATTTTGATAAAAACGTTATATTTGCTTATGTTGTATTTTATAAAAAAAGTTTAATGTGTCTGCATTTAAAAATTTTTTCAAATCCCACGGGCAATAACTTCAAGGTTTTAAGTGTGTTATACAATTTGCATGCTCTATACCGTATCGAGGTTTTATCTATTTCAATTCTGCAAAAAGTTCCGAAAGCAAACTAACCTGAGCCTTCCTTGTGGCTTTAAGTGAATTTTGGAAAGCAAACATTTCGTTTGAAAAAGTTTCGAAATGTAATTTTTTCACAAATTTGAGTGCAAATTTGATCAAGTGGTAGACTTGTTACTCATGTGCAAGCTTTTTTTTGAAATCTCATTATACTGATTAAGCCGCTATCTGAAAAAAAACCTTTTATTTTCATTTTTTCAGAAGTTTTGCTTCCTAGAGCAAACTGTCGACATATCTGAACTACAAAATTATATATATTTTTTTGATTTTCCAGCAAAACAGGTTTTATATTGATCCATTCTCAAATTGGTTAAATTTTTTTTAACAACATGTCAATCATATAAGATTTGTGAAATTGAAAGAATTTTACCCTGAACTTTTTTTCTCGGGATTTTATTGTCGAAAATTTTCCAAAACAAAGTCAATCATTCTTTTTTTTTGGTTTCTTCGAGTTCCTATTTTTTCAGGAAGAATGAAAATGTACTGCAAAAAATTTCGAATCCTGTCAAATTGGGTTCATTGTTTGAATTTGGTCTAAGTGTCAATGAACATAGTTAAGACACTTATGTAGGTCGTGACGCTTTTTTAGTTAGAATTATTTTCAGTTGATCATGCCTAAACCACTTTTTTTTAATGCTCAATGCATGATCATTTGCTAAAAAGAAGGCAAAATCCGCTCTGTAATAACGAAATAAGAATGACGCAAAAAATGTGATCTACTTTGAAAGTGTATTCCATTTATTCAGATTTACCGGCAGAAGAAAAAAAACATATTTCAAGTTTTCTCAAAGTGTTATGAAAAACTGTCAATCAAAAAATTCTCGATATTAAAAGAGCTCTAACGCGATGTTTTTATAGTTAAAGATATAGTTGAAATTCTGTTTCGCCTAAAGAATAGTTGAATGTCTTTCATCTAACGAAATTTGGTCTTTTTTAGGAGTAGATGAAAATAGCTCAGACTCTTATATAAGGTCATGATGATTTTTTTTCAGGAAATTTTGTTCAAGTTTTTTTGACTTTTTGCGGTTTGACTTTTGATTTGCTTTGAGTTCAGTTCATTTTTTTGTTTAAGGGAAGGCAAGCTCCACTGTAGTTAAAGCAAAAGTGTAAAGGGCACGAAACACGTGATCGACTTGTAATTGCAAAATGGATATTAATTTTCAGATTTCCCAGCGAATAAAATTCTTACATAATAATCCAGTTTTCTCAAGTTGGGTTAATTTTATTCAGAAAGGGTTTATAATAATTTGATCCAGAAATTCAAAAAGAATAAAGACCTTTTTTTCGAAATTCGAAAATTTAGGTTTTTCAAAAAATCTGCCGGTATTTTTTTCTATTTTCTTGCGTTCTTCGACTCATGTTTTTTGGCTCATATTGGGTTAGTTGGTTGAATGAAGTTTTTAATTATCAATGAAAGTAGTCGTCAATAAAGTGATGTAGTGCGTGATGATTTTTTAAGTGTAAAAGAAGGAAGTGATTCTCATTTTTATAGGTCTCGATACGTTCTTTAGTTTTTGACTATTTTAATTAAATTGTCTTTAGCGTATTAAAAATTGCAAACACTGAGAAACATTTCTGTTCTCTTTGAAGTAATATACTGAGCTATTTTCACAAAAAATGAGATCGCTAAAATAAGATCGTTTATGAGGCTCATTTTTTCACTCAAGAATCCTTACTCCTAGAGAATTGTCCAGCACTATTCAACGAATGGTTTCAGCCTTTAACTAAAAGTAAACAAATCTGTCTTACCAATTCGAAATATTGATTTAAATACGAGGGTTTAAAATTTTGATAAAACGTTATATTTGCTTATGTTATATTTTATAAAGTGAAATGTTGTATCTGCATTTAACAAACTTTTCAAATCCCACCGGCAATAACTTCAAGGTTTTAAGTGTGTTATACAACTTGCATGCTCTATACCGTATCGAGGTTTTATCTATTTCAATTCTGCAAAAAGTTCCGAAAGCAAACTAACCTGAACCTTCCTTGTGGCTGTAAGTGAATTTTGGAAAGTAAACATTTCGTTTAAAAAAGATTTGCAATGTAATTTTTTCACACATTTGAGTGCAATTTTGAGAAACTGGTAGACTTGTTACTCATGCGCAGTCGAAGTGTTTTTTCGAAATCTCATCATACTGATCACGCCGCTATCTGAAAAAAAAACCTTCTATTTTCATTTTTTGTAACTTGAAAATTGGCTTTAAAACTGCAGCAACCATAAACGCAAACACAATATTGAAAGATAATAAACGCAAAGGCAATATTGAAGAATAAGGAACAACATTAGAATAGTAATAGCTTAGTAGTTGGCGCTTTGGCTTTAGTTTCTTAACTTCGATTATCTACTACATTGTTTTTAAAGTCTCATTTGATTTCATTCCAATCACAACTAACACTCAAATCATACCTACTGTATGCGACTACTAAGGTATCTTTTAAAGCAGTTGAAACAAATTTTCCAAAAACCACAACTTTCTAGCTAAAATAATAGTATGTCGTGATCAATTGTATCGAAAGTTTTTTTCAAATGCAAAAACAAGCAGTCATTTTTATCAGAAGGCAGCGCTAGTCTCATTGTGTTCGTTAAATCTGCTAATTATTCAATTGTGCTATGCCTATTGCGGAAGCCATATTGCTTTGAAAGCAGCAGTGAAGTTTTTAAGGTAGGAATAAACGCGATTGTACATCTGGTTTTTTACTTTTTACGCTACAAACAATAAAAATTGAGGTTGATCGATAATTGTTTTACTATTTTTGATCCTTCCAAACGTAGAGGAAAAACTTTTGCTTTGCAAAGCTCTTTCAGAAACAAGCCGTTCATAAAAGCAAGGTTAATAAAAAAGTTTTTTAGATAGGGAGCCCTCACACTAGATGAAGTTGTTACTATAATCGTATTTAAATAATCATCGTTCGAAGATTTTTTGTTATCTTAAGCGTTAATAATGTTCATAATGTTAACAAGCTACCTTGAGAACATAGTATAATCAAGAATTGGGCGGGCAGTATTAGGAACGCCTTTCTTGATGATTTTTCCTTCGGTCGTGAAAAAAGAAATAAAACTCGGCATCGTGAAAAAAGTATCGTGAAAATAGTAAAATATTTTACTATTTGTCCATGCCCTAAAAACGCGATTTTTTTTCAGTATTTTGACAAACGTATCTTTATATACTTGACTATTATTGAAATCATCCAATTATCTTAGTTCTTTCCTTGTTTTGTATGATGTCCCCCTTGCAAATCATCTGGGAAGTTTCACAATGTTCGGTCTGATGCATATTCAGCTGGTAACCGGTGTGCGATAGAAATGTCTTTCTCGTCGATACAGGCATCAACAGTTTTTGATGGCTTGAGCACCTTCTGCTTAGTTTCTTCCGGCTTTTCATGGATCTGTTTTTCTTGCCCATTATTTTTTTCATCCTCATTCAACCCAAAAACTGTCTCTTTCGTTATACGTTTCCAACTTTTGTGCCTCGCACATTTTTATGATCGTTTTTAATGTCAGTGATTTCATGATCTTTGGTGACTTCTGCATAAGTTTCTTCCTTTCATCCCTCTACAGTTGTTCTTACAACTTTGGAGATAGTTGTTTGCAGTTGGATACTCATTTGGGTCACTATCGAAGCCTTGCCCTATAAATAGACCTTCATCTGCAGAATTGATCAAATTTTGAAGCTTCATGTAATAAGTGTCTTAGTTGAGTGGACTCAATATTGTGCATGGCCTTTTAGAAGTACTTCTTATTGGAGGCGTCTGGTCCAAATTCCGAAGATCTGGAGCTTGGGTTTGCATGTCTGCTATTCACCTCAGTTATTTCATTCTGAACTTCAAAGGAAGTGGGGGATTCAGTATTCATATCTCCCTTAGCTGTTTAACAATTTTATCACAACAATTAGGCTAATGTTAACGTAACTGTTGTCCTACCCTTGATTAAGCACTGAGCATATTTTGATTATGTTTTTAGGTGATATTATCTCCATCCTCAGTCAACGATTACTGGTTTTTCTTAAAAGCCTATTGAAAACTTTTTCTATCTTGACTTTTGGCTTAACCATTGAGGGTGTGGCACGCATTAAATCGATACTTGATTTTTTCTTGATTTTATTCGTTTTCGGCAGCAGCGCCTATAACTATTTAATAAGCCGTAATATGGTTATTGTTCTAGGAAAACCGGGAAAGAAATACATTTTTTGATACCTTTCAAGTCTAATTTTTCAATCGGAATAAAGACTTTTCGATAAATGATGAACATTTTTTTAAAGCGGAAACAACAGTATAAGTTAGTCAATCAAAATTCATGATTCGAACATTTTTGTTTCAGGAATGGAAAGTGGACTCTTGCACAGGGCACGAGACGTCACTTGTGGAAGCACATTCTGAACATTTCGTACGCCAAAGTCTCGGACTGTCCGGCGATCGAAACTTTCAGAGCTCAGAAGGCGGCATTTTTTGAGGAACAAGGTTCTAAAATTTTACTGTTTTGTTTTCTTAAACATTTAATTTTTAGGCGATTTGGTTTTAAAATTACTATTAATTTATAAATTAATATTCTGATGTGCATAATTTTGCAATCTCAAGTTTGGTCGTAAGTTTTTTTGGAAATTATTGAGTATGGTGTTTCATATGGTTGTCGGTTCGAAATTGAACCTGAATTACCATCCACAAGGTGATTTGGCCTCAGCATAATTAAGCTTAACTGTAAAATTTTTTAGTATGTAGTTATTATATAAGTGGAAATCTTGGATCGTCACCTTGTTTGTAAAAATTTTGATGGATTTGTTTTTCTTTCAGGTCAGGAGCGCAATCTAAGGGTTCCCAAAATGGTACAGGGAGACTTCCCGCTGTCCATATATCACCTGAACAAGGAGGGAGTGACGTCACTTCAGGTGGTGCTGACAGTGATCTCCTTCACCTACCCCCAAATATCCTACTGTCCTCTCCTGGCCCCCATCGCCAGTCTGTGTCTGCACTGGATGACGGAGGAGGAGACATATGCTGCCTTGTGTGACCTCATTCTGAAGGAGTTCAATGAGGCCTACATGATGTATTTGCCAACTAACACAGTCTCCTATACCGCACTCTGCAACTCTCTCCTACCTCTCGCCATTGCATCAGATGTAAGCAATGAACCGAGCCATCTTAACTCTTGCGAGAGAAAGTGTCTTGTTATCCGGAAATAGGCTTTTTTCTGTAAACAACTTTTCTTCCTGGGTCTTTTCCTCTTTCTCCCCACTTTAAAGTTCAGTTTTGAAAAACTAACTTTCGGTGTCATAATATTATGCAAACTGAACATATTTGTTATTCATCATATCTTATATTGTTACATCTCACATTCAATCAGAATAATACGTAAGACAGCTGAGATCATTGAAAACTTGAAATGGGGGGGGGGGGTCTTCTTACAAATCTTACTTGATTTTCATGCTAGCTTTATTATTGAACCTTGTAAGCTTCCTGGGTCGTTCTCACTTGGCCTATCGGTAATGCGGTTGCCTGTACGCCCTAAGATCAGGGGCTCGAGAATGTATGAAATTGAAATTTTTTTCCGGTAAAAATTGAATTGTCGGACAATCGTTTGTGTTCAAGTTTTGTCGGCTTATTTGCCACTTCACGGATTTTTTTTTGCTATAAGCTATGTTAATTATAGTTGCGAGCGTTGTTCATTGTAATTTTAGGGGTGACTGAAAACTTTTTTTTGCAAAATCGTTATTTTTTTCGGCTCCACTATTGTCTTCAAAAATTTTCGGCTTTGTTTCCGCCTCGTAAGTTCTACTCCGTTGCTAATTTAATCTTCAATTATTTTGCTTGTCATTAGTTTTGAATAATTGAATTTTTTATATTGGGTAACATAATGTTTCAATATGAAACTTGATTATTTGCACTAATTTTTTCCGAGATTTAGCTGACTTTTCACTCATTCGAGGCTTATTTTCTTTTCATTTTATAGAGCTGCTTTTTGTCGTTCTCGCTAGCTTCACCTCGGTATTTAATTCAGTGTTAGAGTTTACTTTAGACAGAAAGACAAAATATGTCTTCAGCCAGGGGAGGTTTTAATGTTTTGTCGATGAGGGCGGATTTTAAAAAAATTTTAAGCCGATATAACGGACCAACCGTACAATTCTCAAATTCAACCGTATGACTAAAGAAAATTAAATTAAAAAATGTGTTGGTGTACTTAACGGCATACAAATGCAATCCTGCATAAAAATTTAAAAAAACTAATTTTATTTGCCTGTTTATACGAAATTCACATTTTTTACAGAATTTTTTTTCAGTTTTAATACAAGCTTGGGGAGGGCATTCTACGGTAGGTCACTTAGGGTGGGGTTGAGAGAATGCACGGTTAATCCGATTTCATTTTTTAAATTTAATCTAGCTCTTTCAAATCAAGTAAAGCCTTTTTTGCCATCTAATTGTTCCGACTTTCGAAGAAAGGAAGGAATATATATGCTCGGTTTTTTTTAGTCAGACCAAAATTCAAAAGAAATTTTCTCTAGGGGATTGATCACTTAATCTCCGTGTTTTCTGAGGGGTCTTGCTCACCACTATACTAACCTGGCTATCCGAGGTCTATGAAACGAGTCTATCTTAACTGCTCGTTTTATAATTTGATGCTGAAAGTGTAACGCGAATCATTTGGCAGTGACTAATTATCCCATGTCACAAAATCGTTCCAAACTGAATTGAGGCCATCTATTAATTCATGGTCTCATTAATTCCACATGCAACTACAGTAGTTTTGTTATTGGTCTTATTAATTCTACGCACGACTACATATATTGATTCCACGCATTCCACGATAGTTTTTGGTTAATGAAATATTGACAAACTATGAATTTCAGGCTGATAATATCAAATTTTAAGTATTAAAACTTGATATTATCAGAATAGAAATTATAGTTTAACAAAATTTCATTAACCAAAAAGTATTCGAGACCAGTTAATGGGCAGTCGGAATATTCAGAGCTTTGCCCTGATACGAGCAGTCTTGTTGAGTATATATTGACGCCTTCAGAAAAATTTGAAGCAAGTTGACCTAAAACTGATATAAAATTACAGCAAATGGGGTCGAAAGGGGAAGAACATCTCTAAGTCCGCCCTTGTTTCCAGCATAACTCGCTCATTGGTAGAGCATTTTACTGGTATCCTAAGAAGTGTGGATTAGTCAAAGATACGACTTCGATCTATTATTGCATCTAAATTATCAATTTTGCCTTTGTGTTCTAAGTCCAGGTGTGTGTTTGTGCTTTAAGTTAACGCTTCTAACGCATTAAGTAAATTGTGTGCTAAATTATTAGATGCATCAACCTGATGAATGTGAGGTAAATATTTTTAATTGTCAATAATTAGCCTGATTAATTTATAATTGTTGAATCAAAACTGTTCGTCTTTTAAGATTGTGATATCATATTTTTAACTTCATTTTTTAATGCCCATGGTGAAGTCACACTTCAAAGCGTGACCTGTTAGAACAATTTAGATTCAAATTAGGAACGTTTCGGAATGGTATTGGCTCAATTCTAACATGTTATGGGCTCAATGATATCAGTTGTCTTTTTAGTCACTATGGGGACTACTGGTAATTGTAATCTGTCAATAGAAACCTTTTATGTTGTCTTTTGTCTTTTCTTTCTTTCTTTTTACTTCTGGGCAAAGGGCACTTGATAAAACTTCAAAAAAGCAACATTAAACAGTTAGTGTACTCATTTTAGCCTCATGGGAAAAGTTTCAATAATATGCGGAACCTAGTGAACCCGCGTGAACAGCTATCGCAGTGGATCTGGTGGATTTTCAGAGATCTTCCTCTATCTTACTTAGTAAGTCCGCACAGTATCTCTGTTCAGTTGTTTTTACACAAGCAAACGCTTGTGTTATACTACGAATGCGTTTTGTTCCACCCCAAATAGCAGATTTTGAATGCAACCAAATTAGCCTTTTTGCTGCGTAGCAATTTCTGACAATTTATTAGCATTTGTTGTATTGTAACCTGTTTATAGTTGGCCTGGGGATTAGGAAATTAGACGATAAACAAATTAGACGGATCCAATAAAACGGAATTTAGACGTTAATTTGTTTTTGCAAAACTAGCATTTGAGACGGAAAGCAAAGGGCTAACAAAACTTTTTGCTTAAAACAAGTTCATAATTACAAAAATAGTATATGATCCCATTGCATATCAAAATATTTATTTATAAAACGCTAGTCTCAATAATATAAAACGTTTTTGAAATGCTTAAATTATACAAATGTTGTATGTGAAAATAGCTGAATGTCAAAATTGCGGCATATGAAAAGTTGATTTGCATTCAAGAAAGCTCGAACGAAAGTTAATTGTAGTCAGTAAACAAATTTCAGACAATTACGTCTAATTTCCCATATTTGTAATTTTGCATCGACGTCTAAATTCGTTTTTGTTGGTCACGTCTAATTTGCTTTTCGTTTTATTTTCCAGGCCCCAGTTGGCTTAATATTGAAGTAGTTGTAGCGACAGACGCTTTTGTTACGGCTCTTCATCTCAAATTCTGGGTTCTTTTCCATTTTGGGCTCTTTTCCATTTTCTCACCCCCGCATAAAACTACAAAATTAATTTTTCTAAAAATTGCTCGTACGGTAATTTCCGTGTATGAAATGTTGAAAAGTTTTGTTCACTTGATCACCATGACCTTTTTTCTACAAATGAATAGACGATCAGAAGACATTTGAAAATCGACTTTCTTGAATCGATTGTCATTTGAAAATTGACTTTCTTAAATCGATTGTCATTTAAAACTTGACTTGCCTAAATCGGATTGCAAAAAAAACTTAATATTAAGAAGCGGATATTGGAGCAGAGCCTAAGATTGTTGCGCGAAAACTTCTATTTTCGCGGTTCAATTTTTGTTTTCTTAAGTTCAATTCAAATTCTTTTGCTGAAGAAATTCTCAAAAATAAAAAAGCAAATGTTGCGAAAAACGTGATTGACTTTTTTCAAAAATGGATTTTAGTTTCATATTTCCTAAAGTACTTTTCTTGAAGCGTCAATCAAATCATGAAAGATTTATGAAGTTCGAAGAATGTCGACGTGATCTGTTTCTTTCTGAAATAAAAAAATTAAAAGTTTTTCGAAAAAGTAGTAGTTTATTCGGTTACTTGAATTCATCAACAATTTTACTATTGTCTGCCAGTTATGTTTTCAACTTTGTTCCAATATTTAGTTTATTGTATATTTTTTGCCGATTACGTTTACGATGTTTGTTCCGACCATTGAAAATGGGGAAGAACTTGGGATTCGTGTTTTAGTTTTTTTCCCACGCAAAATCAGGTACCACAAATAATTATCTGAATGGGTTGAGTGATATACCAATTTAAAGCCTTTTCAGTCGTGATTCGAATGACCTTAATAATTTTTCAAAACAAATTTCCCAGTGTCGAGAAAAACTGGTTTGAAATTTTGTATTTACAGCTCAATTTTGAGTGAGAAAAGCGATCGAGTAACGATCTTTAAATGAAAATTTATTTTTCAATTTAGATTTTTAGGCTGAAAAAAACCTCATTTTACTATAGAAAAAAAAACTAGTTTTGGATGTTTTATTTTGTGCTTTCTTTGGCAATAAAGGTTTTCTTAAAAAATAAAATAAAAATTGAATATTTTCTGTTTTTCTTTGCCATTAATTTTTTGCAGACAAATGTAGCTGATTATGTCTAAATCAGTAATTTTCTGCGCGTTTGTATAGTTCTCGATTCACACCACGCACAAAAATGACTCTAATATGGAGAAAAGAAACGAAAAAAAACTTTGTATTTGTTTTTTTTTAAATGAATATGGTCGGGACATTGTACTAATTGCACAGCAACAGGCTATCCTTGTTTTTAATTGAATGTGTTTTGCAGGTTAGAATAATGGACTGTTACTTAGTAGAGGGACTGAAAGTGTTCTACCGAGTGGCTCTTACCATTTTGCAGTTACACAAGAAGCAATCAAGCAAGTTCCATTCGTCTAATTTTCAATTACAATAGATTGTTCTCATTGAAATGGTTCCTTGGGTTATTTTAGATAACAATGCTCTAGAAGAGGATGCAATTCGCAATTTTATCAAGAATCTTTCCAGCAGTACAACAGAAGAAAAGTTCATTAAGGTTTGTCAATAATCTACATGAAAGAAGTAGGATTCATTCGGTTTTTGTCATATGTATATGAGGCGGACAGATTCTTTCTCTTTTTCGCTTCTAGAATTAGCATTTGTCGCGTATGAATTAGGGTGTCATCTTTCGCAATGTTGCCAGCCAGACTTGACTACATGAACAAAAGAAAACGGCCCATCATGGAAGTATTACCAATAGTCTATTTATATTCCCCTTTTTAAGGTACCCCTTGTCAGTATAATTTTATATGCTGGCCCATATATATATATAAGTAAGTATATGCGCTTTGAGAAACGGAACTTACCAATTGGAGGGTGTTCTGATTTTAGAGTGTTTATAAGCTGAAAGCGCCAACGAGAGATGAAATCACAAAAGCAGTAGAACATGCGAAGGAGTTAGCACGCACATCTAGCAATGGTTCACATGAAAATGGAGGTCACCACCAAAGTGTGGATACAGGAGTATCCATGGGTCCTGGAAATTCCATTGTATTGGAGACCATAAAGTCAAACATCATCGACCAAGAGCAAGTTAGTTTTTAGTGCCAACACTTGGCAAAAGTCATCATCAGCATCACTATTAAGTGTTAGTGAACGTAGTCAACACACTTAAAAGGTCGTGATGATTTTTTCAGGAAAAAGACTTGACTTTTGATCATGCTCAAATTTATTTTTTCTTCGCGGTTTGACTTTTGATTTCTTTTTAAGATCAATTCATTGAAAGGAAGACAAAATTTGCTCTCGGGTAACAAAAATTCAAATAGTGCGAAAAAGCCTGAATGACTTCCACTTTCAAAAATAAACTTGAATTTTCCGATTTCACAGAGAAATAAATTAATTTCGATTTACCCAGAGTTTTCTAATTGAGTGAGTTTTATGAAAAACTTTAATCATGAAAGATTCTTGGAATTCAGAGCTTCAATGTGATATATTTTTTATTCGAAAAGGAAGTTGTAAAACGTGCAAAAAATGTCATGAATTTATGTCTGTTGACTATGATCTTTGAAATGATTTGTGGTCGGAATAATTTCGCTACTTGCCCAGCAATCAATTGTTCTTTTCGTTCATTTTGTAATTTTTATTGTAAACTTCTTATTCCTGATAAAAATGGCTTGTGAAGTTGCGCTTAATGTATAAAGTTGATTTACTTTTTCGGCTGAGTAAAAAGATGGAACCATCTGGCTGCTATAGTTTTTTTGATTAGGTTTCATCATTTTGATGAGTGTGCATGAAAGAAGTGAATTCTGAGACCTATAAAAGTAGTATTTTTATTCTTGTTTCTTCTCGAAAAAGTCTTCGAATTTGTTCTCGCAGTGTGTTAATTAGATTTTTTATTGTTTCTTAATTTCATTTAGGATCTTCAATCATAAAAGATTTCTGGTATCTAAAGTTATAAGGTCATATGTTTTGTCTTTGCAGCAATTGAAACACCTGTAAAAGTGTGTTTTTTGCTTCGTTGAGTTAAGACTGGTACAACTAGTTTTTGGCTATGTTTATTATTGATATCTGAATATGTTTGTAAATTATTTCTTGACCTTTTGAAACAGACAAATTTGTGTACCTAGCTAAATAAACAATAGGTTGCAATGTACATATACTAGTATGAAAATTTGATTGTGATGTTTTATAGTTGCACAAATTGTGGCTGTGGTTGCCACCCAAATCGAGTGTGTTCCAGCCCACTTTGCTGTACCAGACGCACCTGGACGGATTTAACCTGAGCCAGCTATACCGCAAAATAGAGTCACACCAGCCGGTCATCCTCATCATCAACACACTTAACAAAGAGGTGAGTAGTCTCATGATCAATAAAGATACATATCATGATTTGTGTAACTATTTCAGCCCAGGAAAATAACCAATGATGCGTTGACAGTTCTTAAGCAGGGGCACAACAGTGGTTATCCACGAGGAGTTGAGCAGCTCGTATGTTGGCACTTTTTTGTCTGTCTTTAAACGTAATCGAGGGGCTGATAGTTTAGATGAACGGCTATATTGGACGGTAAAAGGCTAGCGTGTGACCTGCTGTTTAATTAATGGGCATCGAAACATCAGTCGCCTGCATAAACGGCAGAGGCGTGAAGTAGTTACAGGATTGAAAAGCAGATTAATATTCGGGCGCATTTTTCTAATATGTAAAAACGGACTGATATATTGTTTCTTTAACTATTTTCGCTAAAAGTGATTTATGAATTGTCTGTAAGAGCTGACAATAAGTGATGGATTGTTGCTAGTCAATCCCACTGACAAAACTCTTAATGATTTTTCTTTTATTTGTTCTGACTTCATTGCAACACTGTCGGACATGTCTGACTTTTATTTGTACCTCCCAGCTCAGCTGCATGCTTATTATTATTCGCTTTGCGAAATCTGTGCTTACAGATTAAAAATTATTATGAAGTTTGACAGTTTAAACAAATGGGATGCTTTGATTAATTTTCTGTCTAAATGTAAGCCGACTGATTCAGCAGTTAAGCCGATAAACTGATTCATGCACACGGTTCAGGAAATTTAAAAAGACCAACTAATGCTTCATGAAATCCTTTATATGAACCCTCATACGCTCGAGGACTATCTTAACTTGCGTTTTCACGAAAAGATTTATGATTCCCTCATTTTGGTGTTGGGTACATCAGATCTCTTTTCGAACATAATGGCGTTGCGTTACAGACACTGGTCAAAGTAAATTTAATAATATAAAATAGTCCGTGCATACCGTTGTTTGTTTTTCTGTTGATTCAGAGTCGATGAACGTTATGAAGTCTTTTATATAGGCCGTGATGATTTTTTGTTTCTTTTTTTCCAAATCTATAAAATTTGTTCAGGCTCCAATTTGATTTTTTGCAGTTTGACTTTTGTTGTTCCGACTTTCGTAACGAAAGTAACGGAATATTTGTGCTCGGGGTGGGTTTTGTTCTTCAGACAAATTTCGACTGTTTAACTGGCTCTTTTTGACGGGATTTTTAAAAATATCATTCAAGAGGTTTTGTCCTGAGCTTAAATTTGAAAAGATATATCACCTATGATTAATTTTCTCAAAGTTATGGGGTTTAAAGATTGCCATTTCGGGCAATTTGGGGCAATTAACGCGCGATATATTTTGCGCTATTACCGCGTAAGCCAGATTTAATCTGTCTTAGAAATCGTTCGAAATTGATTCAAGGAAGCTTATATGCCATAATCGATATGTTAATAGGAGCAAAATGTATCACTTTACTTAATATGACGTGTGGGGGATGTTTTTACAAAAAATCTCCAATTTGAAAAAAAAAAGTTTTACCTTTAAATTTTTCATGTTATTACTGCTCCATAGACCTTAAAAGGCAGTCGGAACATTCAGGGCTTCACTCTGATACGAGCAGTCTTATTTCTTTTTAAGTTCAGTTCATTTTCTTTGTGGAAGAGAAAACAAACTCCGCTATCGATCAGCAAAAATGTAAAGGGCAAGAAAAACGTGATCGACTTTTAATTTCGAAAATGGATTTTTGGTTTTCAGATATTCCAGAGGAATAAAAACGTTTCCTATTGATCCAGTTTTTTCAATTTGAGTAAACTATCAAAATAGGGCCAATCATTAATTATTCTTGAAATTAAAAGAGCTGTGAGGCCATATTTTTCTCTTTGAAATTCGAAAGTTGACAAGTCAGTTGTTTTTTCTTTTTCTTGCGCTCATTGACTCTTTTTAGAGTCATGAACGTAACGAATACTTTTATACGTCTTGGTGCTTTTTCAGGAAAAAATCTAATAGTCAAGTTCATCTGCTAATAAAAATAACACTCGCTATCAGTGTTTTTAAATCAGTTTTCACCGATAACGTATGATCGTGTAACATTGTCTTAATCGTAAAAAAAATTTTGTGCATTACAAACACTTTCCTTTCAGAATGTTTTTTATTACGACTCAAAACGCCTGTTGTGATAAGAAAAACGCATGTAGGACCAACATTTTTACGACATAAAGGTATTTTAGTTTTTCATTATAAAGTGCCAATCTTAGAATGATGCCGGGTGTCCATTCCGTTTCGCTTTTCTCTGAGCGCTATTAAACAAAGTTTATTCGGTTAGTTCATTGATGTTGCTATTGCTCAAATGCTGAATTTCAACAGCAAAATTGTCTCATACATTGTTATCGATAAAGCAATACACGAATTTGAGAGAAACGAGCTTGAAAAATTTGTTTACGTTCCTTTTATCCGCTTATTTTAAATCAGTACAGAAGACGCTGGTTCAGCAAAAAATACTTTAAAACATGAAAATAGTAGCGAAAACGTGCTTGAACAAAAACAATCGATTTTAATGAAATATATCATCAGAATGAGGTGTGCTAACGGGGTTCTTTTGCTTTTAATTATTGATCTATCGGAATTCAATAATTTTTTCGTTGGATCAGGTTGAATGATGTCGAGAAAAAAGTGTGCGTTTTTTATCCTTGTCTTTAGTTAGGTTTGTTTCTGTCAAAATGTATTAATCTCAAAGTAAGTGACGAACAATTTTCTGTGAAATGTTTCAGATAAACGAAGTAAGATACTTGTATGGTTTTTCTATTTGGGTTCTATACTATTGTTCTGCTGTTTATGGAAGATATACTTGTGGAGTATCTTTGCTGCTTGTGTCACGGATTCAATTTGATTTCCTGATTTCCAGGTATTTGGAGCATACATTTCTGTGATGCTAAAGGAGAGGCATAAGTACGACAAGGGCATGGGATTCTTCGGAGACGGACAGACTTTCTTGTTCAGTCTCAGTCCCCGCACTGCCAAGTACTCGTGGACCAACCGGCCTCAGGACCATGGATCAAGTCTGTTCGTGTCAGCACAGAACGAACGACTGGTCGTAGGCGGAGGGTGAGTTGAACTATGAGGCAATTCTTGGTTTAATTTTGTTAATTGAAAATGAGCAGAGGACAATTTTTTTTGTAGCTCATCTCTGTCAATTGTAGACCTTAAACAAAACTATAAAATTTTGCGATATTTGGGGTTTCACAGGTTGTGTTTCGACAAAATATCATTTTTATACTGACAATTTCATAAATCAGATGCTGTTTAGGAACCACGAGGGAGTTGCGATCGATTGGGCCATGGACAAAGGAGTCTCGAGGACTTGTACGACATTTAACAATCCTCCTCTCTGCTCGACGCCAGACTTCTCTATATGTAACGTTGAGGTGATTGGACTGCGCGACGACTAACTTTGAAAAGCTGTAGACTTCTCCTGACCAGATGCCATTTAAAAAGAACAGAGTTACTCAGGCTGATGCTTGATAATCAAAAACCTTCCTGGTAGGAGACTGAAGTGCCTGGAATTTCTAAAACGTTTTAAAAAACTCAAAAAGTATATTAAACTTGAAGAATGTGAATTTTGATTTATACTCGAATATAGCTGCACCAAATAATTAACTCAATCTACTGTAAAGAGTGGTGTTTATCTAGATGAGAGTTGAATACGTTATTCCAATTTTATTGATGCGAATTTCTTAATTTATTTGATGGAAATTGGGTGCTTCTCTCCTGTTGAATTTTTTTTGTTCGTCACAATGTGCATGGTCCTTCTACAATTAAACTGCCAAATCAATATGATACAGTTCTATCTTTTACCTACGGTCATGAATTCCTAAATGCGTTTCAGGTCTACCTTAAATATTTTGAATGGTTTATTTATTCCTCTAGCGAGTTCTACGTCTTCAATGCAGTATTTTTTTTGTAAATAAAAAGCAAATTTCGAAAGTGTAGTTGATTCATTTATGAACTGATTATTTATTTGTGTATCGATAGTTTGATGATTCTTACTAGTGCAATAAATCAGTAGATTGAAAGAAATATATTCTTATTAAGAGAAAGCCTTGATAGGGAAATACATTGATCCAGTTTTCTCAAATTGGGTTGATTTTATGAAAAAAGTGCCGATCATAAATGGTTCCAGAAATTCGAAGAGCTTCAAGACAATCTAATTTTTTCTTTCAAATTCAAAATTGGGTTTTTTTTCATAAAATAAGTAGTTTTTGTTTGTTTACTTGTGTTTATTGACTCTTTATCACTTTTCTGCTTACTGTTTTGACTTTTAAATCATGAGACTACTCTTGAAGTTTAAAGCCATGAGGGTAAAAAGATGGGGAGGTTGACTTTTAAATCTTGAGACTACTCTTGAAGTTTAAAGCCGTGAGGGGAAAATTTCAGTTTGAGGCAAGCTGCGTTGTTTTTGCTTCTTTTTTAAGACTTTTCGTAAAATTATCTGTTAAATTATTTTTTTCTCGTGAAGCTTTTATGTTTGCTCAAGACATCAACGTATTCGCCTTTTTTCCATAGATTTTAATGATTTCAAATGTCGAATCAATTTTGTTGGTAGTCATTTACGTGCTTTGCCTGCTTACTTTTTCACGCTTATTGCAATCAAAATTAGTTGATGCCTTTCTTGAAGCAAATAATAAATGCAGTACCCACGAGTCAATGGCGGTCCAAACGATGCTGCGTGTATGAGTCACAGAAAATTGACTCGCGAAAATCAGAAACTATACTTGAAACAGCAGAAAAGCTATAGCTGAAAACTTTTGTTTACGAAACTTGGCCGGTAAAATAACTACAGATCTGTATTTGTACATATTGACGTATTTATGAATTTACTAAGGTATATATGCACTCTTTGAGTGTTCACTTGTTAAAAGTTAGGTAAATTGCGTCCCAAATAGGAAATGGCGCGGAAAAACGTGAACAACTTCTGGTTTTCAAAGTTTTTTTAGATTTCATCGCAGCAAAACAAAAAATATGCTTATTGATCCAGTTTTCTCAAATTGGGTTAACTTTATCAAAAATGCGTAGAAAACAACATTTCTAGTAATTCAAGATTTCAGCTCATTTTTTTCTGAAATTCGAAAGTTGCGACTCATTGTTTATTAAAAATAAGTCAGTTTTTTTTCTATTTACTTGCATTCTAGATTCTTTTCAACTTTTTGTTTGCTGGTTTAATTAACACAAATTCTATAAAATCACTCGACATCAGTTCCACACTAGAACCTATCGGGCTGCTTCGAAAAGATGGACGCAGACCAGATGGACACACACTAATGCCATGGCAGCGAGGACGGACCTTGGCATGGGTTTTCACATGTATAAGTCGTTTGGCAAACTCTAATCTGCGATTGGGAGTTCTTCCGGGTGCCAATGCAGCTTCCGAGGCCGAAGTCCGCAAAAGAAACCACTATTCAGACCTCCCTTCCACTGTAATTTTTGAACCCGTTGCCATGGAAACACTGGGTGGCGCTGGTAGGTCTACTGCAGTTTTCTTGAAAGAACTTGCAAGGCGAATAACAGTCTTAACAGGTGAGAAACTAGCTTTTAAATTTCTCAAACAAAAGCTAGACCTAGCGATTCAGAGCGGGGACGCTGGATGCATCCTTGAGGCAACTAGTTGACACACACCCTTCGCTTTACTGCTTCAACTGTAAACTGTGCGGTATATACGCCCTTTTTATTTCTTGTTCAATTTAATTGACTTCTTTTAATTTACACAAAAGATTGCCTATCTAATCTGTCGCCTTTAAAGTGTTAAGTATCCGTGAGATCTTTCATAAACAAAATTTCAATCTTTAAAAGCTTATTGAAAGTCAAATTTTTTGTTTTCGTTTCCTTGATGTCATAGACACCTTTCTAACTGCCTGGTTTCTCTTTCTGAGCACACATCGAAAAAATACCCTCCACCCTTAGACCAAATACCTCCTTCTTAAGTTGTCTTTATAAAGTTAAAAGAATTGACCCGACGGAACTATCGCTGAAGCTTGTTTTCTTTAAACCTAATCAGGAGCTTCGAGGAAAGTTGGCACGGAATCGAGTTCAGCATCATATTATTAACCTACTTGTCGCAATTTGGATCCCATAAGAACGGTGCTTCAGCGACGACAATGCTTGATTTTGGAAAAAAATATATATTTTTTTTCAATTCTTTCATTTTCTATAGCTTCACTTAAATTGTAGTAGGAACATTCTTGTTTTATTTTTCTTTTGTAGATTAGTTTTCTTGATTCGATTAGTTTTTCCATCATCAGGTACCAGAGAGAATACAACTCATACGACGCCAAAGTTACTTATCGCGTGAAAAACTTAGTCGTGATTCGGAGTGTTAAACCATTTTTCCGCAAAGTTGTAACAGTATCGAGAAAAAATGGTCTGATTATATCGTTATTCAACCTAATTAAACGCGATATGCGGATTTAAAAGCTGATAAAAATCTTTGTTTTTGAAAAAAGAAAGTATTTTTATAATCTTAGCTGTTTTAGATCGTTTTGAAGCTGAAAATGAAATGTTACCCGCATAAAAATAGTGGACAATACTTAAACATTTAGTGCAGTGTTCGGCTCTGTTTGTATTTTGTCATTTTTGGGCTCCAAAAAAAGAAACTATCTGTAAAGAGCAAAGAAAGGTTTCAAGCAGCAAAACGGAAAAGCAGTATTAGATATGCGTTTTGTGTTGCTTAAAAGTTGTCCTGGCTGTTTGTTATTTTGAATGGCAAAATTTTTTATAATTGTCTCGGCGTAACTTTTTTTAAACCAAATCACAAGCAAAAGAGCGGTAAATTGACATCACTTTCGACATTCTACAAGTTTTTCAAGATAAGATACCTGAATTGAGCTGAAAACCCAATCTACGCTATAGAGTATTCCGACCACTTTTTGTCTTAGTTGGAGCCAAGAAACAACCAAAATGACTTCAAATATTATCACTCGAAAAAATTCAAAGGCTAAAAAACAGTGAAAGTTAAAATACAATTAATTGTCTCCCTAATATTAGGGTTACACACGCGTAGCTGCGCTTCATAAGCCAAGGACAGTTATTTAGCATTTGTTAAATAAGGTGTCAAAAATGAAAAAGACTTGAAAAACATATGAATTTAGGAGAAGTCTGAGAAAACCCAAGCTATGCCAGAGTACCTTCCGGTCAATTAAAAAAAAAGAACGGCTTAAATTTGAGAAAGTTTGCTTCGTTTTTTATCATTGTGAAAGGGTCAGTTTAAAAAGAAAAACATTTGCCAATTTAAAGAGAGGAGAATGACTTACCTACATGAATAATCGTCAAGTATATAATAAAAAAGGCAGCCAGCAGATTGTTATTGAAGGATCAATTAATTCATAAAAACCGAAAAATCAAGATTAATAATAGCAAATACTTAGATTCCAGGCAAAAAATTGTTCTGAATTCCTCAACTGAATATGGATTCCACAAAATGTAGGTGGAATGCGCAAAATGTAAGTGGAATCCGTGAATATAAGTGGAATCGGCAAACAAAATGCGGATTCCACTTATAAATTGCGGATTTCGCTTTAAGTTGCGGATTCCTCAACAGCTCAATGTAACTATATACATGCCTTATTATTTTTTGTGGATTCCCTCAAACTGTTCTGGACTCCGCAAAAACAGTTGCGGATCCCGCAAATTTGCCTATTTTTGGAGCGATTTTGGGCGGTACAATATTTCAAGTATTTGTGTGAGGAATTCAAAACAGCCAACAAGACCAAAGAAAAGTAAAATTGTTGCGGATTCCGCGACAAATCTGATTTTGACCTGTTGCGGTATCCGTTTAAAATGCACAGAATGCACAATTTGGCCTCTTAGTGATAAAATAAGATCTTTGAGAATTATGTTTTGAAAAAAAAAAACGAAAAACATTCACCTCAAAGCAAGTATTTTTCCATGTCACTCGAGACATGTTAAAACCTCTTCTTTTAAATAACTCGAGTGAGAAAAAAACCCACAAAAAATTTGGGTGAATTTTAAAAAGAAGAGAAGACAAATTGTAGCCAGCGCCACTACCACTATCATGTTACATTAAAATTTAAACTTTTTCCAAGACTCCCTAATTTTTAGCTCAAACGAACTTATAAAACAGACTGTCTGAGGCTGACAGCCTTATTTTATAAAGCTGAATCTTTGGTTTCTACGCTCGCGATTAGCAAACACTATCAAATTGGGTATAGTCTTCTTTCAGTTTTCAGCTTGTTAAAAAACTGTTTAATCATTTGATAGCTCGGCTTAAATATTCCCATCCGGAGAAGTTCAATTTTTTAGCCTCTCCTTCAAACTTGGTCTCGAAGCAACCACGATGTCTGTAACTTAAAAATTTCAGGCTCAAATCTGACCTGGATCAATTTTTTTTCAAATGGTAGTACAATCAGTTTCAACAAATTTGTCGGCTTTTTATTTGCCTGCCTATGTTTTGTCAACTTTGTTGCCAAAGTTGCGATTTATTTGTCTGCCTAAGTTTGTCGACTTAGTTGCCAAATTTTTTGTGCTTTGCATTTTACTAAGCAAATCAAACTTTTAATCTTCACGCTTTTTTCTATTGTTTACGCTTGCGATTCGAAAGCGTTGTAAATGCGCAATTTAGACTTTTTTGACTTGAGACTTTTTAAAACAGAATCATATATTTGCAAAAATAAATCTACCATAGACTGTAACAAGATGTACCTGTGCCATTCAAAAAATTGATAGCAAAATGGATATTTTTAACAACCGCCAATGTGATACCTAGTTCATAATTACCACCTCTAAAAAATCTAATAAATTGTTAAGCATATGATGCCATTTTTACCTAAAGAATTTTCCCCTCTTTACAATGTAGGTGCTGGCAGTTTTATATGGTACAGTGGATGCGGTCATCGTAGCCGCAGGTGACTAGTCATTTTTTAATTCTGTGCAAGTCTCTTAAAAATTCAATAAAAATAGATCTTGCTTGAAAATTAAAGGTTTAAAAATGTGAATGAAATTTCTTTTTGAAACTGATAAAGATATCTCAAAACTTCGGTTAGGCCTTGACTTTCATAATGTTGAAAACTTTTTGTGTTTTTTGTGTTGGTTTTGCAAAAATCAACAGTAGCTAAGAGATATGAGTATACTGTTGTTATGTGAACTTGTGGTTGATTTCGATTGGATTAACCGGAAAAAGAAAACTTTTTAGGGGCTAATTCACTGAAATCACAGAAAACAATTATGACTTCTCGGCAGCCGATGAAGATAGAATGAACTGGATGGGATGTCTTGCTGGATTCGGAGACAGCAAAACTCTCGCTGACAAAGTGCCACGGTCAATTGTAGACAAAGTGACCCAAGTGATGAACACAAAGAAGGAGTCTAAGAAATAGAATTTTTGTTTGAAAAAAGTGTTTTAATTGTATGTAGGTTCTTGTACCATTTGTTTTTGTCAATTAGTTCAAATCTTTTCTGTTTAGTTCAATTCTTTTCTGAGTTGTCACGGTTTTGCCCAGGATTTTAAAAGGACTGTGATTGACATTTATATATTTTTTTCGTTGATCCTGCTGCCAAAAAGTGCCACAAATGAAAAATAGTAGTTTGATAAAGTAGTCGGAACCTTTGTTTTTGTTATTATCAAGAGTGACCTGACTGGTAAATATTGTAATTTTTGATTGCTTACTTGCGAGGGTATGCTTAGCGAATTCAATGTAAACTGTGCAAACGAAGTTGTATTCTATTTTACTCAAAAGATTGCATTTGTTTATTGCTTATTCATAAAGATTTTAAATCCAAAGTGTTCAAATTTGAAAATATTTAGGGTTGATTTTTCAAAGCTGAAATTAAGAGAAAAGAGCTTTTTCTTTTAAATTATTACGTTTGCCATAAGCAAGCCTTATCAATTTGGAATAAAATGTTTACCATGTTATTACGTTTGGGATTAGCAAGCGTTATCAAACTGGAGTCCTGATTTTTTTTTCGGGTTAACAACTTGCTCAATAGACTTACATGAATCACTCGTATCTTGGTTTATAAAGAATTCAATCTTCTATGCTTTGCCGGCCAACTTAGCCTAGAGGTAACGAATATGCCTGAGGTAACGACTAAATCTGACCAGGATCATTTTTTTTAAGCGGGATAAAATAAAAAAGTCGGCTCTTTGTTTGCCTGCTTATCTCATGTCGGCTTAGTTGACACATATCCTGGATTTTTTTTGCTCCGCGCTGTTTCCTTAAATCTTGGTTTAAGTGTTTAATTTATTATTCCAATTTATGTACCTTGACTGCGTATTTGCTTCTTTTTTTGTTTCGCTAAATTAATTCCTCGGCCCAAAAGTTTTTGGCCTTGTTTTTTTATCGGCCTAATGCATAATTTTTGGGTCATTTAAAAAACTGTTTAAACATGCCGCTCTGCAGTTTTCAAGCTGGTTGTAAATTTACCAACCGGTTTGTTGAATTTTTTCTCTTTTTTCGTTATGAACTAATTGACCGTCTACTCTTATGTGAGCTACGTACTCCCCTAGAGACTCTTTACTTGACCCATCTGTCTACAGCCTTCGAAAAAGTCTGAAGGGGAAAATTTGACCTGTAATTTTTTCAATTTTCTCAAAAACTACCTCTCTGAAATCTGAGTTTTTGGTTTCAAAGATAAGACTTGTTCTAAAAACTCCCTGCATAACTGGAAACGCATAAATTTATGGTCAAGCACTTTTATACTTAAGTTTAAGGCCATCGGAATAATCAAATGTAGAAGTTTGAACGGTTTACGACTCATTTTGACTTTTTCAAAAAAAACCTCTCAAATTTCTAATTAGGGGCTCAATGGGAGTAAAGGGTAGTGGGAAGCTCACCTGCTCTAACCGCCACTCACAAAGTTTTTCACACAAAGCTTATGGCCCTCAGAAAAGTCAAATTTTTCATTTTTTGGCAGTTTTTAAACTTTTTGACTGTTCTCAAAAATTACCTGGCCATACCTGCGATTTTGAGTTCAAATCAAAGTACGCCTTCTGAAAAGTTCATATTGTTATGCTTTTGCGCCCCAATTTTTCTGACACTAGAACTAATGGCACTCGGAAAAGTCACACTTTGATATTTTCACCGTTTCTTCTTAAGTTTTTGACTTTCTTGAGAGCTACCCACCCGATTTTGACAATTTGGGTCCCATCAAAATTACAGGTACTCACTATTTCTTCACAGTAAAAACTATGGTTTTCGGAAATGTCTAATTTTTAGTAAGTTGACAATTTTTTGGACTTTTCTCGCTAACTATCCTGCCGAATCCATTATCTTAGATTTAATCGAAACAACAGGTCGTTGAAAGCCGACTTATTTTTTATTAACTATGCCCAGTTTTGATTTTAAAAAAAGTAATAACTTTCAAGTATGTCAAAATTCCGAAACTTTAACAGATTTTTGAAAACTTGCTTCACGCAAAAACTACTGTGCCAATTCTCAATTTCGGACATTTTTTTCATTGATGCGGCCACAGCGTGCTTCGAATGAAATCTGAGATGAAAGTTCATTTGAAAAAACCGGTTGCGATAATTGTTCCTCCAGAAACAGTGACTCCTTACTTTTTTGTGAGAAAAAAATTGTTCTTTGGAAAAACTGATTATCTCAAAAGTGTTTACTCTTCTGAATCAATTTACAAAAGAACCAACAGAAATTTTGGGCAAAAAACAAATTTTTGAAATCACATTTTTTGTGCCGCATTAATATAGCAAATTCATCAAAATCAAACATGTATCTCCAGCTTTAGCTGGGCCTTTAGTTGGTTTTTATCAAGACATACAAAAATTTTGATTCATTTAATTTTTTTTCATTTTGTGTTTTTTATGTTTGTTTTGTATCGCAAGTTATGCGAAGCTCCACTTCGCCTCTTGGCTCTAATTTTGTCTTTTGTCGACTCCATTTTTCTTTATTTTGCTCAAAATTGTTTCGGCCTAAGTTTAATAGCCTTAGTGATTTAGTTTTTTGTCATCTGACTCAATTGCGGATTTAGGGCGGGTGGGCGGTGGTAGTGGGCTTGTAGTTGGTATTACAATTTGGGGATTTGACCCCCTGCCGACCGAAAGGGTCCCCCTGTGTAATTTTTCGAGATATCCACGTTTAGTGAGGGACTTCAAAAGTTTTCTAAAAACGCATTCGGCGCCAAAACTGACTAATTTTTACGAAAAACTGCGTGCCAATAAAACGCGAATTTTTGGTCAACATTTTTCAAAAAGTGCCTAAAAACGCCTTTTGTGGTCTGGTTTTCAACATTTTGCCTGCGGCGCAGAAAATTTGCTCAAAACAGGGCCTTTTACTGCTTTTGATAGAGCTCGGAAACTACTTTGGTCGACTCCTCGAAAAAATCTTAGATCCGCACCTGATCTGACTGCAAAAAAAAGCTTTTTGTGTTATTTGTAATTTCAGAGGGGATTGCAGATTAGAATTTCAGAAATTTCAAAAAATTTTTGTGACAACAACGTGACTTACTTCCTTTTATCGACAAAGTTACCTCTCGAGAAAAGTTTTAAAAACTTTTAAACTCCGACGTTTGTGTTTCCGGATGTGTGCGCCTGAAATTGACCAACATCATTCCAGACAAAATTTTGAAATTTTGTAGAGACAATTTTTTCGAAAATGTGTCACTTGTTTTTTTACGTGGGCTTTTTTTCATGTTCTGTCTGCTTTTTGTAATGCTATGTTTTTGCGTTATTATAAGTCGTGCAAAGCTGAGTTACGACTTTGAAATTGAACATCGTTTCCGTTCAAAATTGAAAAAAGTTGGGGTGTTTTGTTCCGAGATGTTTTTTTTTCAAATCGCTTTATCATTAAACACGTTCTTGTGTTCCTGTTTCTTTTAACCTATGCATGCGTTTTAATAATAAAGCAATCAATAGAGTTTAAGAATCTATTGCAGTAAAAGTAAAATGAAAACTGATTTTTGATTTAATAAAAAATGAAGGCGCTTTTGAGCGATTGAAAAGTATAATTACTTTGCTCAAAGTCTCAAACTAACTACTCGTCTATGCGTTTTAGTCAAGCTTTTCATTCAAAACACTTTTGAAAATTCTTTTTCAATCTACCACAACAGAAAACAAAATGGCTGTTGAAAAATAATGAGTAAGCAGCAGCCAAATAGAAAACTTTCTAAGGCTAAATCAGGCCTTGAACTTAACGATTTATCAAAAAAAGAGCCGAAATCACACAGAGCTCCTATTTCTCTCAGGAAAATAATCGAGGAGACCGATGACGCAATCAAATCTTCTGACGTCACTTCAAAAGATGATGTGATTGGACCCTCTGATGTAATCGTTTCGTCAAACACCGACTTGGACGACATGTTTGTAAGCAGGGCTCGGATGGCGTTGGACGCTTTTTCGGGCCACAGGCAATCAGTTGACAATGACAGGTAAACAATTTAGCTAACAAAACTAAAGTTCATGAAAACTTTTAAACTCATGAAAACTTGTACCAGAACATGGCAGTAATAAGGGAAAACTGTTTGTGTCTCAGCCTATCAGTCGATACAGTAGCGGATTTAGGGGAGGGGGGGTGGGGTACGCCTAGTCTTCAGGGATGCAATCTCCCGAAAACCCAATGGTTCCCTTTTTGGTACTATTTATAGACATCCATTTTTGGCTGACCGACCCTAAAAATGTTTTTAAAGGCGCCTTTGGGGCCAACATACTTTTGTTTCGAGGGAAAGCGCGCGTCGAAAACGCAATATTTGGTCAAAACTTCCAAAAACTGCCTAAAAACGACACTTATGGCTTGTTTTTTTTTCAAAAAATCGTCTGCGGCGCTGAAAGTTTGGTAAAATGAGGTCTTTATTCTGATTTGGGAGAGCTCCGAAAATCAATTTGGTCGACCTTAAAATAAGAAAAGGTCGGCAAAGTTTTCGAACATTTTTTTGAAAATAACATATATATCACTCGTATATTATACATATCTTTTTTAGTCTAAATCCACTCCCATTATGTGTATTTTCTCGGTAACTTAAAGCCAACTTTGTTTGATTTTATGCATTAAGTATTTCTTTTTAAATCAGCCCGATCGCAATGAAAACTCCAAAGGTATACGTAACTCAGTAACCACAACAGATTGGAATAGATATCAGCTTATTATTATGATGGTCGTCGGTTAGGTTGGCCGATATTGCGCATTCATCAGGAGAAGACGAAGACGACGATGAGGAAAACGAAGACGGAGAGGGGAGTGAATGGAGTGAGTCATACTTGTCTAGTCTGGGCCAACTGGAGAGGGAGAACTACAATACTTTCCTCCAGATGAAGTTCCTCCGGGCAGTACACGAGAACAACTACATCGAGGTTGAAAGCATGCTCTGGAAACAAAAGTGAGCCATCAATAATTGAAAACACTTTTCGCCATTTTTATTTAACACTGTTGAAAGCATTTTAACTCCTTAAAAATTTATGCTTTTCTGCAAATAGTTCCATTTTCTGAAAATTATTTGACATTTTCACAATTCCAACATGGGATCGCCTGAAAATTTATTTTTTGTGTGATCTGACAGTTTTAACTAAACATTAACCAAAAACATCCGGCGATAGTTATACACACCACTCAAGATTTGATAGTTATATATACCACCCAGGATTTTCATGACTGTAGTTAACAATTAAAGTATTAATTAACATGAAACAGAAAAAAATTAAGATTTTTGCTAGTAAAAAATACTTTTTTTTCTGGCATTGAATACTGAGAAAATCTTCCAACTTCATGTGAAGCTCAAATTATTTTGCCAAATTTTTTATCGCCAACTTCAGCTTAGCTTCTTGTCTGAAACATTTTGCTGTTTTCTGCGCAAATAGGGGCAAAATTAATTTTTGCTTAATGTTAAATTATTTACGAGCGCAAAAGGTTAAAAAAAAGTTTCAAAAAATTTCAACGCAGTTTGTTCATAATTAAATTTTGAAATTCGAAATGCCTGATTTTTGAAAAAATCTTTTCAAAAAACGGCCCCTTCCCCGTCAAAAATTTACTAATACGGGGCTTAATGCGCTCGAATTTTTCAGAAAAAACCGCCCCTCCCTCGTTAAAAAACTGCACAAGTCACTGCATAGGGGTTTTACTTCTGCTTTCTTTGATCTTGAAATGTTTCGTTATTTAAGACACGAAGTGCGTGTGGACACAGTGAACGAAGTGGGTTACACTTCACTGGCTATCGCTTGTATGTCCAACTCGGCCCAGATGATGCGAGTGCTCCTCAAGTATGGCTGTCGAATACGGGAGGAGCTACTGGTCTGTGTAGAACATGACTTCAAAGAGGGTGCCTTGATGCTACTCGACAAACTCTATGCTATTCAGGGCAAGAACGCTGTCAACCAACCGGTAAGTTCAAAGATTATTGTAAGGGCAATTTATCTGATGTATAATTAACCTGCTATTAGAAAAAAAAGGAAAAAGACGTGGCCGATGAGTTTCTTCCTTAGTTGATTTTGTAGCTAAACAAATCACTTAGAGTTGAATTTATTGCATGCAGGGGCGGATCGAGGATTTTCTTGAGGGGGCCGGATTTTCGATAAAAATTTCAAAATGAGTTTCTGAGCTCTCCCAAATCACTATGAAGACCCCATTTTGACCAAATTTTCTGCGCCACAGGCAAATTTAAAAAAGCTAAAAACGCGCTTTTAGGCTTTTTTAGGCTGACTGCATTCTTCCCCTCAAAATCGTAACAAAGTCTGAAATAAGCCTTTTTGCTGATGATACTGCCATTCTTGCATCTTTTCCAACATCGAGAACATCCGATGATTTTAAGAATGATTTAGGAAAACAGATGACTGGTGCATTTGTAACAAATTGTCGATTAGCTCTACAAAATGTAAAATTTTACATAATGGTAAACCTTTTCTTGATACAAAATTTACACTGGGAGGTGAAAATATTACTTTTACTAAATGTTTCAAATATTTAGTTGTTCAAATTGATCATCAACTTAGATTTAACGAGCATGTAAATATTGTCTGCAAAAAATTAGAAAGAATTAATGGGATCATGTACAAAGGCCGGTGTGTAATTTCAAAAATATGTTATTAAGGTTTTATTTAGCATATGTGGTACCAATAAAATCACATGGTCTTCTAATATGTGGTAGTGCTAGCAAAACAAATCTGGAAAAAGTTTATTTAATTCAGAAAAGGATACTGCGAACAATTTTTTTAAAAAAAAATTTGACCATAATACTTCGAAATTTAAGGAACTTGGTTTAGAAACAGTTCATAAAATTTATTTAAATCAACTTTTCAAAGAGACAATTTTCCAATAACTAAAACGTTCTCCATTAGACTATCTGAATACTATTAAATTTAGTTTTCAAAGAAGTACACGTTCTCCCTCAAATGGAATGATTCCCTTTTACCGCTGCAAAACAAAAATGATGGAAAATTCTCTCTCCTACAAAATTTGTAAATGCTTCAATTTTTTGATGTCAAATAGGCTTCTTCCAGATAACATTGAAACTTACTCTGATGAGAAACTGTCAATCTTTTTAAAAGTGTTCAAGGAAAACTACATAGAACTAACGAGAAGACCTTTTGAGTAGGCAGTGGATAGAAACCCTGAGGGGGGTATTATCTTTCCCTCTTACATCAACTTTTATTCTGAAAACCTCAGTTAACATCAAACCATCTCTTATTAATCAGTTGGTAGTTATCAATTGTCCAGTTTCAGATGCATTTGATCTTCACAAACCTCCTTGTCAAAGATGCTCTTCCTTCTCTTCCTTCTCTATTAAGTTTGCAAGGACCTCTCACTGAAAATTGGAAATTGAATTTTCAAAACTAAAATTACCTTGTTTTCCAGTTCACTTAAGGCCATTTACCCACGAAGGAAAGGACCAGCATACGGGATGTACAACTCATCATGGCGTTCCGCTTTTGTGCCCTTTTTTAAGAACTATCTGAAAAATCTTTGGTTATTTTTCTGAGCTGGGTAATGTTGCCTCACCCTCAAGCAACGAGGACGGATCATGGTGGCATCCGACCTTCAGTATAAATTAGCGTGGTTTTCGATTAAGATAATCTGAACACAGAAATATCGAAGATGAACTAAAATAAACCCAAACCACATCAGTTCATATTGAAATCATGTCGGGGTAACTGACATGTTTTTCAGCCGATGGAGAAGTTGGAGATCTTTCCCCCTGGGGCTACTGCAGTGAAAGTGGCCAGTATCTGCAACAATCTGGACATGTTGAAGCTGTTGCGCTACTACGGGGCAGAACCCATTCCAGTGCCAGACATGGAGGTACTCAGTTACTCAGTCAGAGATTATTGGTGGACATCTTTTAAAAAAATATTCAACTCAATCATAAAAGGGAATTGAAGCCAATTTGTGTTTTCTTCAAGTTGAAAGTTTTGCAAAAAGTAAATTGGTTTGCATAGGGCGATTTGGCAAAAACTGGAAACTTATTAAAACAAAAATTTACAGTTTGTGATTAATTTGACATCAACTATATAACTCCTCCTATGGTTAAACGTGACGTGCTGCTTCGATATGGCTAGTTTTTGGCCAATAATTTCTTGCTCTTCTAAAAACAATAACGATAAAAGAGACCTTATTTTGTCCGAAATCTCTGAGATACAGGTGCCATGGCACACTTATAGTTCTATTTTGGCTAACTTCTTCTATGTCGAATCTAACTGTTTCAGGTGAACAGTAAGAACTCAGTCGAAGTGTTCTACACGATGCGTGCTCTGGCTAGTCCCGCCTACTGTCTAGTCATGACCCGCGAGGACCCCATGATGAGTGCATTCAAAGTGTCCACTCATTGCAGACAACTGGCAGAAATGTTACCGCATCAATACGTGCGTCCTTTTTTCGAACTAAACACATTTTTATGGAAACTTTTAAAAAGTTTTCAAAATAATTTTTCCATTTCAAAGATAAAATGCGCGAAATTGTCATATACTTTAAGGGAATTCTCAATTTCTTTTGGTTGAAAATAGCAGAAGAAGCTTGTTTTGGTGTACTTGAAACCATTCACTACCTCTATTACCTCAAATAACTTCTGATTTATATGTTGATATTCGACAACAAGTTTCGTTAACACAGCATTTCGGTTAGTCTTCTGAAAGAAAGTATGTCCATGCCGAAGTCTTTACTTTTCAACGTGTCTAACTCGGCAGCGCTATTCTTCTGTCTATCATTTTAGTTATTTCTTATATAGGAGCAGTACGAGAAACTGTCGCAGCAGATGGAGCAATTTGCGACGCAGTGGTTCGGCACCGCCTCCGACAACTACGAGGTCAACATGATCATAGGCCTCCCAGACCAGACCAACGTCCTTCCTAACCCCGCTACAGTGTCCCTCCCTATGCCCAACAGACCCTCATCTTCCGCCTCCCCTCAATCGCCCTTCGAGCAGAACAAGTACTGCAGACTCAGAAACGCTCTGCTCAACAACCACATCGAGGTATGATGCGATCATTTTTCTGATTGTTAATTTTTTTCAGCAGAAAAACAAATATAGATATTTCCATAGTTTCATTAGAGAAAAAATATCCATAAAAAAACTTAACAAGCATGACAATGAGATTAATACTACCCCCAGTATTCTGATTCTACAATTTTGACTGCGAATAAATTTATAATGTTTATTCTAGAATTACTGTGAATGAATTTATAATATTGATCTTTAATCCAAATTTATCCAGTTTGAAAGCTATGATATGAATCGTCATGTTTTTATAGGTGTCATTTTTTGAAATAAATATATTTGGTAAAAATATGAAATGTTAGTCCCACACATATTGCAAAAAGGTCAAACAAATCGGCATGCTCTCGGTATGCTCATTTGTCCTCACTTGGTATGACGACTTTGGTGTCTTTCAGAGGCCATCAGTATTTCAGGGGCTCAACTATCATACTAGTGTACTGCTTACTATAATTAACTATGCTAAAAAATGTCAGTTTAAAAAACTCAACAGATTCTAACTAAATTTTTTAGCATTCAATTTATCGTATGAACAAAGTGTAGACAATTTTACGAATGACTGGGAAACTGGAAAAGAGCCGATGGCTATCGCTATGTGTCTGTGTGGTTTAGTTCGTGGCCCACCCGTACTGTCAGCAGGCGGTTTTGAAGGAGTTCGAGGGCTGTCTGCCAAGTGGGTGGCGGGACAAGCCCACCCCCTTCAAGGTCTGCCTCATCTTCTCTATGTCCGCCCTGGCCCCTCTCTGGATCTTACTCTACTGGCTCCTCCCAAACAGAGACGCGCCCATGAAGTGAGCGAGAATTTAATAAGCATGATATTAAAAAGTACCCCTCATTGTGCATAGAAAAGCACATGCAACATTCAGATTCTAAACACATGTCACAGTTACACAGTTAGTAGAAGCAGTGAACAACAACCATAATGTGAACAAGTTCAAGAAATTTGAATAAACGGTTACAGGAGCTTCCGAATAACGAGCTTGGTAGTGCATGTTTTGGCAAGATTTCTTGTGTTTTTTTTTCCAAGTCAGCTGATCAAAATCATGGTAGCAACTACAATAGTCCTAAAAATGGTGGTCGTAAAAGACTTCATTTTGAAACAAATCAGTTAAGCGTTCCGTTCGTCCTCTGTTTTGGTTTTTTAGGGGGAAAACAATATATTTATACAACTGAGACATCAGGGTCAGCGTTTTAAGAGAGAATGTTTGTGGCTGATCCTGGGCAGAGTTGCTAGCTTCATTTGAACCTATTTTCTTATTGAAACTATTTCGATGCCAAATTTGTCAAAAGGTTTTTGATTGGACTAAAAAACAATTTATAACTTAAATTTCATCACGAGAACCGATTTGAAATCCTAAAAAAAGCTACCAACAATTTTTGGCAAGAGAAAAAGGGAAGAATAAAAAAAACTTGAACTAAGATGAGGAAGAAAAGTAACATAATAAAAAAAGCATAATTATAATTATAATAATCTTAATAATGAAGTTTTAAAGCCCGCAAATAATTAACCGGCCTTTGATTAAAATGGCCTAATTTTCCAGACATCATACAATACAGCATTCATTTTAGCAGTGAAATGGTTAGGGGTTAAAATATACGGTATTAAACTGAAAAATAGGAGCAAAATTGTTGTGGATTTAAATTGTTTAGGAGTGAAATGACTAGGTGTTAAAATATACGGGGTTAAACTGTACGGTATTAAATTGTAGGACACCAAATAATAATGACCTTAATAATCATTATGATCATGACAATAAAAATCATAATAATTAAAATAACAATATACAAAATCATAAAAAGATGAAAAACAAAATGAAACAAAAAGAATAGACTTGCTGATCGACACACCATACAAAAAGAACAAGCATTCCTGAAAACCATGTATCAGATACATCCAGATATCCGAAATTTAAAAAATACTTTAAGCTGATACATGCAGAGGTCTAGAGAGCAAAAATCATTTCGGCAGATAAGGAAATTTTTGAGGTGGCAAGTTTCCAGGATGGTATATCTATTTTTGAGATGGCAAGTCTTGTTTTTGCGTGGCTGCCGTGAACGAAAAGCAAATTACAACCAGGAGCTGATCAATTGTGTAAAAACTACTTGAGACCAGTAGCTGGAGCAGGCCTAGATGTGTCAGTTATTATTAACACGCTAGCCGAGAACGGAAAAGAAAAAAAACAGTTAGAACATGAATGGACATATCTCGCCTACTTGGAAGCAAGTGAAGCAAACCAAAATTTTCGGGTCCGAGATCAATGTATATAAAATCCAGGGCGGTAAAAAGTTGTTTGAGCGACCAGAAGGCAGAGAAACGTACTTTTTGGGGGTGGTAATCCTTAAAAAGCTGCCCAACAGGCAGTAAAACTGAAGCTGTTAAATTGCCTTGCGTCATAAATAAAAATGAATGAACAGCCAAAAAATCCGAAAACGTTTGCAAAACGAGCCAGATGTAAGGATAGTGTTGCTTTTTTAAAAAACGTTCAAAACACGTAAGAGACTACGGATTTTCCCCAAAATTCATTCAAAATTTCAGCAGGTATAAACTTTGTTTGTGGTAGAAAAAATTGAAAATAGATTTGATTTTCGGATATAGATTGAAAGCGGAAAGATGAAATTGAGGATGAAACAGAAAAAAAGGATAAGAAAAAAGAGTAAAAGAAGAAAAGTAATAAGCAGAAGAAAAAAGAGAAAAATCAAGCAGAAGAAAAATCAAGAAAAAAAGAAGAAAAAAAGAGAAAATAAAGAAGAAGGACAAACATTTATTTTGAAAACAAAAAAAGACCGCACGTAAATGCTTCGTAAAACCAAGTTAACAATTTTTAATTCTAAAAGAGGTACTTAAGGTCGTCTAAATTCTCAGTGAAAATAAGATTTCAGAGGCAAGGGAAAAAATTAAGTCTAAATTCCTGTGTATAGTTACTTGAAACTTGCTTTCTCTCAACTTTATTATAAACGGATCCGGCGATAAGAGTAAGGAGTTTCAGTCTTTTGAGATCTTAAAACTACTTCTTCAGGCGAATATAAACTTCATGACTACTTGAAACTTCAAATAAGGCATCAATTAATAAAGAGTTCATGCTATGCTTGTTTTATTTGAGCTCCAAATTAGTTCATAGGTTATTTAATTTTCAAAAAAATGAGCCTATCGGAAAAAGTTAAGATCGTATACGCTATTCTGACAGCCCACCTTTGAACAACAGAATATCAGCATGAATAGATTTTAAGATATATGAAAAGAAATAGCAACCTATGTTCTGATGTCAGATAATTTTACGAGAAAGGCGAAAAAACAAGTATATTGGGTTCAGTTATGTTAATGGGTTTATGAATGTCATATATGGTTCTATGGTAACTTCTGACATTTTTGTTTTTTAATATATATGTATAAAAAAATTTACGCTTGAGATAAGCAAGCGTTACCAAATCGGAACATAGACTTTTTTCGGGCTTACAACTACTTAAACAAAATATGTTTAATCACTTATGGGTGGTTACTAGATGCGTGGGTGCTAAGTTACTATTAACTACTGGATGGGTGGTGTTACTACAGGTTAGTTTCAAGGGAACTTGAAACTTTTTATGATTGTCGGTCATTTTTGCGCTTCGTAAATTTGTTCAATTTCTAACTTGAATTTCAAATGCATTGCTTGGCTCTGAGTTCCTTTTCAATAAAAACAGTTATTTTAAAAATGTTTGGGGTCGGGTTTTTCTTTGTCTTTTTGAGACGCTATGAAACATTTTATCACTTCTCGCAAATTTTTTTTCAAAAACTTTTTTACCGATTCAAAGAAAAAAGGGGTATCCATAGAAACACCGCCTACTCCTGTTTGCTTTACCACTTTGTCTACAGCCTTTGAAATAGTCTCTGGGGGAATATTTGACCCATATTTTTGATTTTTGTGTTTTCTCTAAAGTTATCCTTCTCTAATCTGAATTTTTGGTTTCAATGAACAGAGTGGTTTTAAAAACCTCCCTGCATATGCGATTACGCAAAAAAAAATTGAGGAAAAAAAATTTTGGCCCTCGCAAAAGTGGAAATGTTGATTTTTTGCCTGTTTTTTTGAAACTTTTTTCGAGAACTACCCTGCCAAACCTGGGTCCTTGGGTTCAATCGAAACTATAGGCAAATCTTTTCTGCTAAACGGCTACGCGTAAGATTTTTGAAACAAAAAGCTATGATTTCCGAAAATGTCAACTATCTGATTTGCTTACCTTTTTTTGGACCTACAAACCTGATACCATTGGTTTAATCGATTCAACAGGTTGTTGGATGCATACGTTTGTAGTTTTCTACGCCCAGTTTCTTGGGCAGAGAAAGCCAGAGCCTTCAAGCAAATAAAAGTTTTGAAACTTCGATCGTTTCTTGGAACTTTTTTTGACTTTTCTAGCAAAAAATATTGTGCCAATTCTTAAGTTACGTGTTCAATCGAGAAACCCGATATTGTGAATGTTCTCTACTTTACCGGCAACGACCAGCTTTTAGTTTCTGAAATTTGAAAATTTTCTAGGCGACTTTTGAATTTTCAAAAAAAAACTACATTTTCAAATCTGAGATGAAAAGTTCAATCGAAAGAAGTGGTTGCGCGAATTTTTCCTGCAAAAGCGGTTACTTTTTTGTTTTTGTTTTTCGTTGAAAAAATGTTATGTTTTTGAGGAATTTCTAAAATCCCAAGTTTTTACTCTTCTCTAATTTAGTAGAGTAACAACTAAGATTTTGGACAAAGTCCAATTTTTGAAACAACGCATTTTTTACCGCATCAGTATAACAAAATGAAAAATATCAAAAACGTACATCCAGCTCTAGATGGGCCCTAGGTGTCCTTCATCGTGTTATACAAAATTTTTGGTTCACTTTGTTTTTTTTTCAAGTTTTTTATGCTTGTGTTGAATCGCAAGTGGTGCGAAGCTCGTCATCGCCTCTTTGTCAAAAAATATTTTTCTTTTTTTTTCCAAAACTACATCAAAAAATAGTTTGCTTTGTTTTCTTTTTTTTCTTCAATGTTTGCAGTCTTTTTCAGGTTCTGTTTGCATGATTTGAATAAAGAAAGTAAGTGAAACAATTCTGGTTTTGTTAAAAGTTTCTGGCTTGAAATTGAATTTATTATTATTTTCAGTATCCCTCCGATGTTGGGCTGAACTCCAAAGTTTTCTTTGTTTCAAATAAGTAAACTATATGTTTAGTTTCAGCCTACTAACTTAGCCTACTAACTCAGCCTTTTATGTTCGTTTCGAACACAATTCTATTGATTTGTTCACAATACAAATACATAACGAAACAAAAAGCAATCGCAGCTAACGAACACTATTGCTCCTATCATTCAGGGATTTCAAATAATTGTGAGAGCCCATAAAAACGCAGATTTTGTTGGTTTTGATGAATTGGTTTGATTTGTAGTTCTCATGCAGCTCATATTAGCGAAAAAGGACCTAAAAGTACAAACTTTATCAAAAGTTTATCAAATCAAACAAAATCTGCGTTTTTATGGGCTCTCACAATCCGTCGAAATTCTTGAATGGTAGGTTCATAGTGTACGTTAGCTGCGATTGATTTTCTGTTTCATTATTTGTTTGCTGATGCATGTTTACTGATTTGTAGGAAATTCGGAGCCCTGCTGGACTGGCCATACATGAAAGTCATGACAAATTTATTGCTGTACGCCATCATACAGGTCATCTAAGAACCGAATGAGTTAATCTAATCTTATTAATAAAATTCTGGACCATTTACGGTTCCTCGTCATAAGAGTTGTACAACCCGAATGACTCTTAGGAACATTTTCGATAATTGAACACTTTTTTGACTTTCTGAGATAAATGCAAGGAAGAGCAGCTGCAACAAAAATAAATGTCAAAACTTTACAAATATAGGTTTTTTCAATATAGGATTATAGAAAACGTTATTCAAATCATTAGCTGAAACAATTCACACATCGCTTCTTCAGGTTGCGCTGATCTTGTCGAAGAACAGATTCTCCATGGACAACTTCGATCCGGAGGACCCGGAACAAGCCCAAGCGAGACTAAGAGAGGACGCCAGAGATATCCAGGACCAGTTCATAGCCAACATAGACGTCCTCAACATATACATATTTGTGTGGACTCTGGGTGAGAAAGTTTGGGAGCAAACATTCATCGAATCTTCTGCAGTGTTAAATACAAAAGCATAAATTTATTGGCATTTCTCAAACTTTCATTTTACTATCGTGTTCGCGAGTCAGTAACGGATTTTGGGAGGGATTTTGCATCCTAAAATCAATTTGGTCGGCCCAAAATTACTATCTGCGTCTGCTCTGAATGGAAGTGTTTCATTATACTTGAACAGAAATGGTGAATTCTTATTTACATTAACTGGCGATGAATTTGATGTTTAATATTATTGAAAGATTCATCTTACGGTGGAAAGTATTTCGTGGAGTAATTTAAAGGTATAAACTTGTATGAGATTTTTTTCTGTGTTTCAGGCAACGTGTGGGCGGAACTGAGGAAGATCTCTTCGTTCGGGATGAACTACTACAAAAGTGAGAGTGCCAACTTCACCTGTCTCCTCATGACCTTCTTCTTCTTCATATCCGCCGTCTGCAACCTCATTCTATGGGTCAGTTAAACGCCTCTTTTGTTGTTATATGCCCAAAAATCATCTTGTTTGATATTTCGATAATTGGATCATAATGCTTGAATCTGATTGGTGGAAACTAATCAATATTTAAGAAAATCTAAAAATTGTTTGCGAAGATTAAAGTCCATGTGGTATTGTACATGATGGTATTTTTAGGCCGCATTACAGAAAATACCCCAGCCGCCCGTCGATTCTCCATCAATTTAGGATGTTATCTTTGGGCCATATCAACATCGAAGTTTTAAAGATACTTTTAAACTCATTTGAATTAGGGAAATTAGAATTTTCGAATCATGAATGTGATAAGTAGTCATGTTCAAAAATGGTCAGAAATGTGATTCGAGATGATAAATTTACCTGTGCAAAAGTGAGCTCGTTAATACTAATTCAAATTGGCAGGAGCCGCACTGTTTTTGGGCAACTAGGCTCAATCATTTCCCCTAAGCGTTATCTTTTCTGGCTTTAAGGCCGCGAATTCCTTGATAATATTTGTTTCTGGAGGGCCAGATGAAATTAGCCATCCAGTCACAATGATTTTCTTACCTTATAACCATACAATGTTCAATTTCGATCTCGTCGAGTTTCTTTTTGACCAGTAATTTTAGTTTTTTTGTAGTAGATTTCTGAAGATTTTCATTTATTAAACCATAATTTAAAGTAATCGAGTGAATGTTCCAAGTTGAAGTATTCGAGTGATTGATCATAGAGGTATCTAATTTATTTTTATAAGTTTAATTTTTTTAGTCGAGTTTGTTTATTTTAGTCGAGTAAATACAGAGACACTACTTTCAGCATAGAGGGAATACCCAGCAGCCCCATTCCAAACTGGGTGCGAGACCTCGCCCACGTGCAGGACGTCGCCATCACCCTTGGCAACCTTCTTCTGTTCCAGCGTCTGGCTTACTGGATATCTCTAAGCACCTACATGGGCAAAACATTCTACTACTTCACCGTACCTTTGTTGCCTATCTTGAAGTTTTTCGCGCTCTTCGTCGTCTTCTTAGTGGCCTTTGCAGTGTCTCTCAATGGCCTACTATGGCCTTCGTATTCGTCTTTGATGTTATTTTGTAACCAAACCGTCCATAATCATGGTCGGCCTCCTATTGGTCCCGGGAACTCAAATACAGACAACTCGTCTCTCATAAATATGTTGGTTGCTGAGTATAGCCAAGAGTGTAGCAATCTACGGGACCCAAGTGATAATTTCGAAAATCAGAAGAATTTCATCAGGGAGATGATCAGGTGAATCAATTTGTTCTAATAAATATACATCCTTTTTAAACTTTTACCAGATAAAATTACTAGATAAAAGAAGTTAAAACTCCTTATTGCTTCTCCAATCGAATGCTGGTAATTAAATTTTGTATTAATTTGAATTCCGCAATCTCTAAATTTGAATGTCTTCGTTCCTTGGCGTAATTCGGATTCTTTGTGATTCAGCATTATCGGGAACCTTTTTGGCCTCGTTTTCGCCATGTTCGGAGCCGACCCGAAGTCGCGACTGCTAGCAAACTTCCGCAACTACAGCACCCCACAAGAGGCGACAGCCGCTATGTTGTATGCAGTATACGCCTTCTTCCAAATCCTTGTTCGACTGAACGTACTCATAGCACTAATCGTGGCAGCACTCACCCAGATATATGTACGTACCCAAGAAGCCTAATGTCCTTCTAACAGAAACTGTTTTTATTGATGGTTTTTTAAAAAGTTTTCATAATAATTCAAGACGCCCGAAACTAGCTCTAAATCATTAAATGAAGTACAGCAATAAACAAGTTAAAATGATTCCTCAATTTACTTATGATTGAAAAACCAAGATTGCTAAGAACGTTTATAGGGTTAATAACCATGGTATCTGTATATTTTGTACCGTTTAGCAACGTGCCAACGAGGAGTTCAAGTTCTACCGGACGAAAGTGATGGTTGCGTTTATAGACCCAGAAGACAACACTTGGGTGCCCTCTCCCCTCAACCTCATCCCCACTGTGAGGGAGGTGCAGAAGTGGATAGTGGACAGAGCAGAGCGGAAGAGGATGGGGAGCAGCTTCACCACCAGTGACACAATTAAGGTATCCTGCCACTCGGTCGAGATCCCTATTTGATCACATCCCTATTTGATCACATCCCTAGTTGATCACACTCGGTCGATAATCCTAGACTATCAAGGAACGTTATCTTGCATGGTTTTTTAAATTATAAGATGATGCAAATCTTTTAAAGATCTTGCAAGATCATGCAAGATAATATCTTTTCAAGATGTGAACACTAGGAACTCAGTAAAAATCGCCTAAAATTCAGCAAATATTAATATGAAAACGCTAATCAAAAACCATCCATATCAAGATATGAACGGAATCCGCCAAAAAAGGAAGAGCCAACGTGGTTCAAATCATGCTTCAAATTATTCGTTAAATCTCGTTCCTGGTGAGAGGGTTCGAAATGATTAATGCGAATTACTATTAATGCAAAAATGCTGCATGGCGAAACTGCTACCGGTTGAAGTCGATGCAGGGGCGGATATAGAATTTTCTCAAAGGGAAGGACTTTCAAAAACTTTATCAACCTTTTTTTTGTCGATCAGAATGAATTTTCGAGCAATCCCAAAACACTATAAAGACCTTATTTTTACAAAAAAAATTGCAGCAGGCTAATTTTTGGAAAAGTAGGTTAAAAATGCCGTTTTTGGGCATCTTTTTCAAAATTTTTTGGCGCTTTCCTTCAAAATTAGTACATATTGGTGCCAAAGGCCGCCTTAAGAAAACTCTAGGGTTGGTTAGCCGAAAATGGATGTCAAAAAATAACATCAAAGCGGGGACCCGTTGGTTGGTAAAAGACCCGACATCCCACCCTAAACCCGCCCTTGGGGCGATGGGCAATTTTCATGCGAAAGAAATAGCTAAATTCCTCTCTTTAACTTCTCATTAACTTTTACACGCATGAATTTTTCCAATTCATCAGTTAATAAAATTAATGTTTTTGTTTCAGGAGCGAATGATGAGGGAGGCTTCTGAGAAAAGTCGACTGGAGAAATTAGCTATAAGTGTAAGTTTTGACTGTAGTTTGTTTGTGTGTCTTACTTTTTTCATAAAATTTGCTGTCCATATCGCATTTGATGGACGAGAAGCAATTATGGAATTATTCTGTTTACGCTCATCCAATTTTTTATACACAGTTGCCCTGATGAATGCGGTCGCGTGATCCGTCATCATATGGAATCTCCGAGACTGTTTTACTTAGCTTCTACTCCTTTGCTATTTTCCACTCTGTACCAACATGTCAATTAATCTGGAAGCTGCTCAATTCAAACATCTACATCAAGAATTTAAAAAATCATAATAATTGATATTTTTTTGAAGGTAAGTTTTTTAATCAACATTCAAACTAATTGAGAGGCAGAATATAAAGTTAGTGGAAAATAGCAAACAAACTATTGTAACACGTTGGAACCAAAAATTCAGTGTTGAAATATATCAATTCAAAAATCATGAAAAAGCCAAATTTTTTATTCCTCATTAGTTAATGATCGGAAGTGATCAAGCCAAAAGTCGCTCAACGCTTACTTTTCCATTTAAAATGAAAGGTTTTGATGCATTCTAAAGCTCACTTTTCGAATCAATTTTTCAACAAATTTTTATATTCTTCGATGGAATAGAGCATGTTTATAACCCAGTTATGAAAAACTAGCAAGGATAGCCGCTTGATTTTTTTCAAATTAGTGTTGGTTCTTGCGAGTCTATGATAAAAGGTGTGCGCGTCAATCTCCACGATTATATAAAAAACGGTTTTTTAAACACTTTAATTAAAGAGTATTTTCTCGGCAAAATAACTCCGGAAATTTGAAAATATAAGGATAATTTATAATGTTTAACAAGCTTTATCATCGGTAACATCGGCCACAATAAACTGCATAACTCAAAGCAAGCTGCAAAAATGGCCAGTATTTGTCCTTGAGACAAATTGCTCTTTTTAAAGGTCAGCCTTAACCAAGGCTGAACCAAATTAGAGCGAAAAGACGGTTAAAATGGGTTTTGGGGGGACCGAACCTGGTTACGGAGCATCCCATCAAGTTCGGTGCACATTCGAGTTCTAGAAAGGAAATGACCTAGGCGGGATTCGAACCGGCGCCGAAACCGCTGGGACGCACCATGTATACGCTCGGCTACTGTCCCTATATGCATTTATATTTTGGTTCAGTTTTATGCATTTATACTCTCGCACATTTACATTTGCGCTGCAACATCCTCCGCCCCTAAAGACGGAAGAACAGGTGCGAGTTTTACGGTCGGTCGTATCAGCTCGCTCGTAACAGTTTTGATATCGGCGGATCGGGCGCATCCGTCTTTGCCGTAGTGTAGTTTAGCAACACGGGCGAGTGGGTAATGCCCACGTGGGCTGTCGGGTTTGACTACCCAAACCAAGTCGCCGGTTTTCAGTGTGACATCCGAATCATTATGCCACTTTGCTCTCTTGTTGAGAAATGGTACATATTCACGCAGCCAGCGTGACCAAACTGCGTTAGCGTACGATTGTGCTCTGGCGTAACGCTTTTTATTATCAAAGTTATCTTCGAAACTTAACGACGGGAAGCTAGCTGCGCTGTGACCGAGAATGAAGTGATTCGGGGTGAGTGCCTCTAGGTCGTGCGGATCGGAACTGACCGGAGTGATCGGTCTTGCGTTAGTAATTGTTCAACTAGGCAGAGCGTTGTTCCTAGAACTTCCTCAGTTAATCTCCTGTTGCCTAATATGTCGTACAACACTCGCTTAACACTTCTCACTAGCCGCTCCCAGGCGCCACCGTGATGAGGGGCACTGGGCGGATTAAACTTCCACTTAATGCCTTTGTGGACGAAAACGGCCGGGCGACTTTGTTCCAATTTTGGACACAGGATAGGAGCTCCTTTTGAGCACCAACAAAATTCGTGCCATTGTCAGAAAGAATGGTTTTGGGGGTACCTCGCCTTGCAATAAATCGCTCTACGCCCATGACGCAGGAACTAGTATCGAGAGATGGAACCAACTCGATGTGAACTGCTCGAGTCGTGAGGCAGGTAAATAGGAAACCCCATCTCTTTTCGGTACTTCGGCGTATTGGCACTTGAAACGGGCCAAAGTAATCAACACCTGTGTTGGAGAAGGGAGGCTGCTTGTAACCCAGTCTTTCAATCAGTAGGTCAGACATAATGGGCACAACTGTTTTTGCTTTGCGCTTACGGCATGTTATGCAAGTATTTTCGATGTTCCCAAGTAACCAGCGCAACTTCAGAACAATGTATTTCAACTGAACTACAGCACGCATGTAATCCAACCCCTGATGTGCATGTTGAAAGTGCATATGCCTAATCAACAAATGAGCAACTCGGTGTCGACCATCCAGTATTATTGGATGTTTGCTATCAAAGTCGGTATCAACAAGACGGCTGATACGTCCAGTTGAACGCAGGATGCCAGCTGGGCCGATGAACGGAGAATATTTAGCAATCCGACTTTTCTTTGTTATCAGTTTATCGGACTGAAGTATTTTCACTTCGGCAGGAAATGATTCGGACTGAGCGAGATAAATGAGCTTCTGCTCGGCAATATCTAACTCGGACGGGTCGGTTATTTCAAGCGTTTTTGTACGGAAGTGTTTATGCGATGGTAGCACACGAAGCATAAACGCTAAAACACGTTTGTACTTTACAATTGAGCTGAATTTATCCCAATTTTTAAACAGACGGATCGACGGCGCTTTCTCAGATGAAGCATCAACAACAAACGTAGATGCAGTCTCAAGGCATGTATCAATGTCACAGAGTGGGCCTTTTAATTGGATCTTTTTGGTGACATCAGTGTTCGGCTGGAATGGCCAATCACATGTCCTCAATATACTAGGGCCTCTAACCCAGCTGCTATCCTTGAGAGATTCCGAAGAGATCCCTCGTGTGCCGGTATCAGCTGGGTTATCACCACTGAGTACATGATTCTATTGATCAATGGTGGTGGACTCCAAGATTTCACCAGTGCGGTTTCCAACAAACACAGGAAGTTTGTTGCACGAGTTAAGCCACTGGAGAACGGTGGTAGAATCAGTCCACATGAATACATTGCTTACTTTGAAAGTAAGCGCTTTCAAAATCTCTTCTTTGAGTCGAGTCGCAAGCAGAGCAGCCTGAAGCTCTAATTTGGGAATGGAGAGCATCTTCATAGGCGCTACACGGGCTTTCCCAAATACAAAAGCTAACTCGGTCTTTTGCGATTTAGCAAGTCGGGCTCGGAGAAACGATACGGCGCAAAAAACGTCCTTCGAACTATCACCAAACGTGTGAAGTTCACAGCGGTCGAACGGTTCGGTAAAGTAGCTACGAGGTATCGTCAGAGTACCTAATAGTGGAAGTCCTGAGTGCCAATCTAGAAATTGTTGTTTAATTTCCTCTGGGAGATCATCATCCCACTTTTGACCACTGATTCTCCATATGTCTTTTAGTAAAAGGCGCGCTTTCACAGTATATGGAGCTACCAGTCCTATTGGATCAAAAACTGAGGAAACAAAACTCAACACGGTGCGTTGAGTAATTGCTTTATCTAGTGGTCGATCAACACCTCTACTTACTACTAGGGTATCTTTTACATGATCCCACCTGAGACCAAGAACATGCGACGATTGGTCTGGACTCTTACAAATATCCTTAACTGACGGGTTGGACTCACGGTTGTCCGGATTAAGAGCGGTTGTAACTTCGGGTACATTGCTAACAAACTTTGTCAGGTTAAACCCACCTAATTTGAGCATTGCGACTAAGTCTTTACTTAGGCTAAGAGCGTCAGCGGTATTTTCGAACGAGTCAAGATAGTCGTCCATGTAAAACTTCTGGACAACGGCTGAAGCGGCTTCGGGGTATTCAGCTTGATTATCAGAAGCAGTTTTTTGTAGCGCGAAATTCGCACAAGTTGGCGAATCACGAGCGCCAAAAATATGACGGGTGTATTGGTGAACCACCACACTTGAAGTGGGGTCCTCCCGCCACAAAAAACGGAGAGACGGTTGATCTCGCGCAAGTACTCCAACTTGTAAGAACATACCTTCTATGTCCGCTGAGACGGCGTACTTGTGTTGACGAAACCTCAACAGTACAAAAATAAGATTTTGAAGGAGATCCGGGCCAACCAAGAGAGATCTATTTAAGGAAGTGCCATGAAATTTGGATGCTCCATTGAGCACACGGCGCACCTTGCCGGGTTTGTTCGGGTTCAAAACCGGATGATGTGGAAGATACCACTCACGTTCGCCTCGTGAGCTGGGATCGTGCGGGTTGACGGTTATGACATATCCTTTACTTATATCTTCTCTGATTGTTTCGGTATACTTCTCGCGAAGTAACGGATCTTTATCTAATCTTTTCTCTAACGACTTTAATTGGGCTAATGAAGAATAATAATTGTTAGGCAAGCTAACATCATTATCACTCCACAGCATCGGTACAGTGTAACGCTCACCATCGTGAACGGTTTCAGTTTTTAGGATCGACAAAGCACGCTTGTCTGCGGCGGAACGGGCATCTACTTGCTTGAACGCACCATACGACTCTAATTCGTACCAAGTTTTGATTTGGTCGGTCAGAGAAGTATCGTCCGTAACGCAGTTAAAGGAAGAAGAATTTAAGGACGAACGATCAGGAGACGGACCACTAATGACCCAACCTATCGGAAGTCGGACGGCGCACGGTGAGTCAAGTTCATCTCCGAAGACATGTTCGAGGGGTCTTATCGCATGATAGAAGTCCTGTCCTATAACTATCTCAATCTCTTTGTAATTATACGCAGTCGTCTTTAACGGGGCTAGTTGCGGGTATTTGACCTGCAATTCGGAAACGTTTATAACATCGGGTCCTATGTACATGTTGTGCTTAACGAAAGCGACAAACGAAAACGAAAATTCACTTTCATTGGGCTTTGCGGAAACTTTCAAGTGAACTCGTTGAGTTTTAGATACCTTGGCTGAGTTAAAACCATCGGTCGTAACATTTACGAGCGTGCCAACTAATTTGAGACGTTCAACGAGTG